CTCCTAGCTTAAAATACAAAATAATATTCAAAAGAAGCAGCTGAGGCCTCGCTTAGACCTGTTTCGTAATATGGCTCACCCGCCTATGCTACGAATATTAATAGAACATGGTAAGCTAGACGAGATCCTTTTATTTACACATGCAAAGTTTCAATAATAAAACGTTGATTGAAATTAATTAATCTTGGTTACTCTTAAATTCTATTACAGTTACTTCTTAGTGAAGAATACAGAGACAAAATGTTGAATCTCAAAATACAGAGCAGAATAAGGTCACTTCAAGTCATCAACATTGCCAATTGCATCTTGTAAATGTATTGTATCTGGCGGGTAATTGAACATCCGTACTTGTTTCAATCATTTCAACAACCCCCAATCCCTGGCGTATTGTATAGAGTCCTCCAATATTGGACAATAATTGCCAATGGCTCTAAACTATGATCCTGTATCGCTGCTGATAATGCTGAGAGGTCACGTACAGGTCGTTTCCGTGTGCGCGGGACTAAGCCCACAGATTGCTTTCTCTTACACAGTCTCAAATAAAGTTTTGGCTCAATAAATTTCACTCTACGTAAAGTCATCACCCATCCAAACATTAATTAATCAGTAGCTACTAATTAATATCTGACCGAGATATTATACTTTATGATTATGAATTACTCAAGTAATTATCAAATTGTACTTCTCATCTTAGTGACTTATAGATAGGTGATCTGTCCAATCTGTATACATTTAAAATATATACACTATATTAGTCGCTTATATTGTACATGAGTTGCGTTTCACCCAACTCGATTTTATTGTAAAACGAAATAAGTATGAAAATTAAAAAAAAAAAATAATAAAAAAATAAAAACACCCAATGTGTCCAACAGTATGATGTTGCAATTATTTTTTTTATTTATTTTTTTTTTGGTAGTGTGCAAATCAATTTCTAAAGATCCGACTACATGGAATGTAATGACACTTTCATTATTAAGTATTTTAAAAAAATTCATAAAATGCTTTTTCATTTTTTTTTATTCAAATTCGATTTAAAAATAAATTTGTTGTATTGTACAATTATTATAGATAAAAAAAGTTTAAAAAAATTGTAATACGATTTCAATATTTTTTTCTTTCCGAATCGAATGCAATTTTTCATCTCAAACCCTAATCAACCATTTTTGTTTCTTTTATACCGAAGAGGGGCTTGAAGTTTAATCCAACATCACAGTCAACAATGGCTATCAGAACAGATAAACATTTTCCGAGTCAGATGGACTTAGAGCAAGAACATTTCAGATTTTAATTTTTAATTAAAAACGGAATTAACATACGCAACCCCTTCTACTGATGATCATATATATAGTCTGTAACATAGATAGGAAGCCGCATGTGGCCCCTGTGACGTAGTTGCGGCCTCCAAACGTTTTTGCGCGATATTTATCATGTACTAGAATTTATTAAAATTTAATTAAGTTGAATGTATGTATGTGGGTGTCAATATCTAGCGATAAATAAAAATATCAACTGTAAAATATAAAGAAATATTGAGGACTCCATTATTACTACCTAATATTACTGCGATCTCTAATAATAAACAGTTTGCTCTCCAATATTCTGTAATGTCTATCATTTCAAAGCAGAATCTACAAAAATGATATGTATAGGTTAAAATCTACCAAAAATCAAACAAAGGAGAGAAAATTGTATAAAATCAGGAGAAACCATTCACTCAATCATCACCTGCAGTGTCAATGAATCCGTATTATTGCCATGAACCAAATTAAAATCTTTTAAATACTGATTTATTCCAATTATAGAGAACTACGTATAAAATACATATTGTTTTGTTTTTTTTGTTATTGAATATATATATATATATATATATATATATATATATATATATATATATATTATTTTTTTTTATATCTATCTATTTATTGAGTAATAATACATTTTGCCACACTTAGGGGCACTGAGTACTAAGGCTGAGTGAGGCACATTCATACCATATATACAATACATAAAAAAAATAAATAAAAAAATATAAAAAATCTATATAACAAAGGCAAAAACTATAATAAACCAAGGAAATGTAACTTAGAGTTAAAATTAAATGAAAAACAGAAATTCGTAGCAAAATTAAATAAATTATAAGTAATAGAAATAAACAGAAAAACATTCATACTTAAATACAATATTTACAATTAGGTAAGAGATCTCCGAGTCCAGCCCTTTCTCCCACGTGTGAAGGACAATGCGAGACTCTAAGAGATCCCAGCGCTTCTCCTCAACCGCGTCGCCGCCATTATTTGAATATATAGCATTAGTTATAGTGAGATAAGGTAACATTCAGGCCATATGAACAAAAAATATAAAATAAACAGAAGTAAAATAAAAAATAAATAATAGTCAAAAACATGTAAAATAAATAAAATAAAATAACTTAAAAATAAGGGAATTAAAAATAACAAAAAAAACAAAAAACATACCTATATACATTATTTAAAATCAGACGAGAAAACCCCGAGGCAGGCTGGTCCCTTCAACTGAGGAGGGAAAAGCAGGACTCCAGGAGATCAATGCTCTACTTGTTTGTTTTGTTTCGATGTCCAGGCATAAAACATCCAGGTCATCAGCGCCCGATCAACTAAATAACACCAACTCTACACTGTTTGGATGGTAGGTACAAAAAAAAGGATAAGAAAATAAATAAAGGGATTGATAGAATAAAACAAACAAATAAAAATAAGAATAGGCAGTGCCAATAGGTAATGCCAATGGAGGCCGCAATAATTCTGTATATTTTACCGTTGCTATTTTTATTTATCACTAAATAGACACTTATCAATGCTCTACTCTCAACTGCATCTCTGGTACTAATGCCAGCGGAGATCATTATCATATTACATTATTATTATTATTATATAGGTTATCACATTATCTAATTAGATTTTCAAACATTAAACCTTCAATTGTCTTTGGGGTCCCCCTTTGGATCCGTCAAAGCTTCAGTATGTCATAAATTTGATTTGCGAACAAAAAAGGTAGAGTTAAACTATTTGGAATATACAAATCAATCCATCCAGCATTATTAAAACAGAATTATTTCAATGAATAAATGCAAAAATGGAAATTAAAATTCATTATATTGATAACAGACTATTACTGCGATTATTTTATAAATATACGGTTAATTTTCTGACTAAATGTTAACAGACGTGTTTTGATGTAGAGGGCCGAGTTCCGATGTTTGTATTGCAAGTCCAGCTCTAAAACCACTCAGACATAGCGGCTTCGAGATTGTCACATCAATAATAATTACAAACACGACAGCTAGTATAAATAATAACGTTACAATAATAATAATTAAACAAAATAAGATGAATTATTTTGTGAAAAAATAACTCTATGGTTTATTGTACTGAAATGAAATAATTTAACAGAGATTTAAAAAAAAAAAAAAAAAAAAAAAAAGCTTTATCATTAAATAGAAATATATGAAATTGGTTGTCACGAGCAAGATGCACTAGAGCGATATTAAATTCTTTCACTACCATCGCACTAGAGACCCGCTCCAGTTCATTTCGGTGGAAACTAAATGTGCAATAATAATACTATATATTATTTCTAAAAGGTGTTTTTTTGTTGTCGGTATGGCATAACTTCGTCAATTCTTCATCAAAATATTGACCACTAATTTTGAAGATATTCTTCTATTTCACATGCGAAAAATAGTCCTACCCTTCCAAAATTTTTGAAAAAAAAGTCATGAAGGAAAAGGAACTTTATTCGCGGAATAACTCAAAAAGTATGCATTTTTTTCTATATTGCACCCATGATAATTAGAAAGATTACTAAATTACCTACAAGACAAACAATTATATTAAAATTTAAACAATTTGTAAGGAGTAAAGTGTGTTGAAATATTTTTGTAAGCAGAAACAGAGTTGAGATTTGTATTTCACAGCTCGAAAGACCCTCGAATACGAATTCATTGAGATCGAAACATAATTTTTTTTCTACAAATTGACCTAAGGCACCCCTTTGATTTTTTTTTTTTTGGAAAATCATATAAAGTGTGATACTTTCGATATTCTATCACCAATTCACACGAAATTTTGCAGAGATATAGGGCCTTATAAACTACACGAAATGACACAAACTGCACTTCTTAAATAATTTAAAATTCAAGTTATGAAATAAAAACCTATGAGGAGCTTTTATTTATTTACTCTCTATAGACATCTTAAATCAACAAGTTTTATCAATACGATCTCGAAGAGCGATAATTCAGCTTTCCAGCGGTTGTAGAAACGTTGAATAAGGATAAAATCCTGAGGAGTTATGAATGTTTTAGTTAACGCCAGGCAAATACATCATAATGAAAAGAGAAGTCGTTGCCATGACGAGTATCTCAGCACAGCTCTTCTATCCTATATATTATTTCTAAAAGGTGTTTTTTGTCGATACGCCATAACTTCGTCAATTCTTCATTAAATCCAATGATTGACCACTCGTTTTGAAGATATTCTTTTCCTTCACATGCGAAAAATAGACCTATCCTACCGAAATTTATGGAAAAAAGTTATGAAGGAAAAGAAACTTTATTCGCGAATAACTCAAAAAATATGTATTTTTCTTCATTGCACTCACGATAATTAGAAAGATTACTAAATTTCCTACAAAACAAAACGTCAAAATCGGACAATTATTAACAAAGATACAGTCCATTAGTTTTGGTATACTTAATAATTTCTTCCTCTTTAAAGATGTTGAATTTACATATCTACTACACTTTTTTCCTGGCTGTTATATTAACTTTATTATTTCTTAAAGGTATTTGTTTGTACTTACATTTTATTTTTTTTAATAATTTAGAAAATCTCATGATAAAATAGGTCCTAGCAAAGCAATTCGTACAAATATTTTGGTCTATTATGTTAAATGGAATACTGTAATCGACCAAGGAAAAAATATTGATTACTTCCTTACATAATGCATAGGATCTACTTATTTCCATATTGTTTTGCTATATATTCACTAAACAAAATTTTCTGCGAATTATTCGCACGGGCCAACTAGTAACAATAATAATAAAAACACATACAGGTAATAAAATAGGTACTCACCTCTGCACAAGTGAACATAAAAGAAATAGCTGAAACAAAAAAGAAAATGTATTAAATTAAACGAACAAACATCACCACTGCTCAAATGAAATAATTAAATCGAAAAATTAAGCGCGACGTGTCAACGAATACACGTTATTTTATATTCATCATCTAAACATATTTATAAAACAATTAATTAAAAGATTTTCTAAAAAAAAAAATTTTAACTACGGGAGTAGTTAAATAACAATTCCATTAAGTGCTGTGCTAATTTATATTGAATCCATCAGAATAAGTGTCATACCATCAATAACAAGAAAAGAAATTGTGGTATTTATACATTTTACACAAGTTAACAATTCTTCAACGGATAAATGTTAATAATTGTATCTCAGGCAATAAAAGTCTCATAATGATAACCACTTTCGTAATAAGGTTTGAAAATAATAAATGTCTTGAAAATATGTTTGACAATCATATGCACTTAATAGTAAACATATTTTTGTTTTTAAATAATTCCGAATAAATCAATAAGAACCACATGATAAAAAACAAATGTTAAAATTCTTACAGTTAAAAATCATATGCAGTATTTTATGTTGATATAATACCGCTCATTTTAATTTTTAATAGTAATCTTTTTTTTCTTTTTTTTTTTTTATGTAACATCAATTTCCATAATCTCTTGGTCACAGAAATAGATAGGCTTATAGTACTTATTAGTGTTAGAAATAGTTTCTCTGTAAATCTATGGTTAATACTTGGCTCGTGGTTCCGTAGGAAGAAGATTTATTTGAACATAACAATCGTAAAGGTTTGCACAGAGAAAATTATTGTCAAATATATTTTTGCTGAAATAAAAGTGTATGGCACACATTTGTTCAACAAATTGCGTTAATTCAACAAGAACAGTCTGCCCATGAGCTGGAACAACTGGAGTAGAAATACTTCTGGACTACATGGGAGGGAATATTTCATGAATTCCCTAAAGAACGGTGAATAAACTAAAACAAATTCATTCCATTCTCTACTGACCATAAAACCAAATACTTTAAAATACAGCTTAGTGTTGACTATGTTAACAGCAATCATAATTTATTCAGGCCAGCAAAAAAAGAAAAATATGATTTTTGTCCTCAACGTTAGATCAATGGAACCAATAATTTATAAATATTTAGATGAAAATAAACAATATTCTAATCACTGGCAGACGTTTTTTGTTTTATTATTTTCATCAAATGTTATTTCAGGATTTTGAGATTTTCCAAACGATAATTCTTTTTTCTTTTTTTTTAACATGTTTACTTTCATTTACTTATACATGAAATACATGGACAGAGAAATTATTGCAATTATGTAAATTTCTACTCTAAATTTTCCACAGATGAACATTTGGAACAGCTGTGCCCAGAAACTGTTTCAAGGCGCCGTAATTTTTTTATTTATTTTATTATTATTTTTTTTTTTTTTTTGAGGAATTTGACGGAATTTAGAATTTCTGAGGAAGACACATTTTGACGAAGTTTTGAATTTTCGAGGAAGATCATTTCGGCAGAGTTATAACTTTACGAAATGAAAACTTTCAAATCATAGGACTAGAGGGACTTTGAGCTAAACTTAGGAGGAGCATTGCACTTTTCGTTTTTACGGAAAACGAGCTGAGCTCGTTAACAAAGAAAATTACTCTCACTGTAAAGAATTCATATAAGAGTGGAAAACTATTGCATACCTTTACCTCCTCTGGACTTCATGAAAAATTATGGACAGTTAAATGAAAATATCCACAGTCTCCTCTACAGACATTTTTCACCAAAATCGACCAACCGGAAGTTCCATTTTATGTAATCGATTGTATAATTGTGTACAATTTTCTTGAAAACCTCTCAAATAAATTACGTTTATCATATATATAAACATACATATATATATATATATATATATATATATATATATATATATATATATACAAATTACCTTATATCAATGTTAAATTCAATGTATTTTTTTCTGGATAACTGCGACTTAATAAATTAGTATACATTTTTATTTATATAAATATATTTCATGATTTTTATCCCTCATAGATGAAGATCCCCTCAACCTCAACAATAACACAATCTGGAATCTGCTAAAATTTCAGACCAACCTTTATCCCCAATATCTTCACGGCGATTCGTCATTAAATGACACGATAGCTATTGACGAAGAATTTGATCACACCGGGTCTCAAGGTATGGAGGAATCATAAGATGTTTATAAAATTAATCTTTGTTAATTGGATTTTAAAATTTATTTTATTTTTATAATTATTTTGGTTAATTAACTATTTAAGAATTAATTATAAAAGTAGTATGGCTCCTTCGATCAATTTAAAAAAAAATTAATTAAATTTAAAATTTAAAAAACGAATTCATATAGACTTCGTTTTTTTTTTTATATATAAGCTTCGGCGCTTCATTAGGTGTTTTTATTAATATTTATTATTTATTTTATTATATGCCGAATTTTCTTTTAATTCAGTTCGGTAATTTAAAAAAAAAACGACTACATTTTGAGACTATCTAGAAAATAAAAATTAATTAATTTATCCTAGTGATTTAATTATTTTTTTTAAATACCGCAAACTTGCGTACTATTAGTACCTTATATTATTTTCAACCATTCTAATCTGAGTGTCCGGCTCTGATGAATGGTTAGAACTAAAAGCAAAAAATAAAATCCCCTCCCACTATTACAAAAAAAAATATAATATTTATTTTGTTTATAGTAGACATATGTAAAAAATTGAAGATGTTCCCAAAGAGCAGTTATTTTGGTACAATATACACTACCTACCTATATCTACCACGTACATCTCCAACAGTACCAAGAAATTATTTAATAAAATTTATTTATTATTAATTATTTAATTTTTTTTTTAAACGAATTTCTTGAATATTATTACAAGCTGCCACATTGAAGGGTATCGGTATTAGGGTTATAATATTCATTCGTTCTATATTTACATACTAAAGAGAAATATATATGAACAATTACAACAAATAATATTAAAAACAGTAAATGAGATAAGAGAAATAAAATTTCTTATGACTGAGAATTAAATTATAATTAACAGTAAAATATAATTTAGCAGTAATAAAATGGTTCAATTTATAAGAAAAATCACATGTTGAAAACAGAGAAACAGAACATTTTTAAAAATGGCTATCGTGTGCCACCTCCCTAATAAATAATGTTTCCCCTTTTAAAAAAAAATTATAAATCAAATTTCATATTTTCTTTTTTAAAGTTATTTAAAAAGAAAATATTAAGTCAGTCGTAATATTATATCTATCGCTATTGTCTACAACTAGAATAAATAATTATTCCATATAGAATTACGTTCTAAAAATAAATGTCAAACTCAGCTGGGCTCTCCACTTTTCAAAAATTATAAATCACTGATAAAGTATTAACAAAATTCACTTTTTGTTTCTCATTTTACTTATCTGATTATTTTATATATTTTTATTTACATTGAAAATGGATGAGCAGGAAAATTACGCCTCACTGGCCTCTATTTATGCAAAAAAAAGAAGAAAAAAAAAACTGGTTCCGCCATTCAGAACCTTTTTATTCCATTGTTGTTTTAAAATAAATTTGTATATATTTTGAATACAGATGAGTAAGATATAAACAATAAACTTTGGATCATTCATTTTTTCCATTATTTTAAAGGATTAAAATGGTATAAATATATTTCTGTAGAGATAGAAATAACACCACATATTTGAACAATATAAATAGTTTAACTGTGTTATTCTTCCATATTCTTATACGATGAAGATTATTTATAATGATGAATGGTTCATAAATAGGAAGATTAATATAATATATGGCTACCATTTTCTAATATAGTTGAAGGGAATGTAAGAAATAGCTTCCTATAACTTGGATGATATCACGAAATTTCAAAACAGAAAAAGAAAGAAATTGCATCACTGTCGAGGAAAACAGCAGTTCGCATGACGAGTGCCTATAACATTAATGTTGAATTTTTCATGTCAGCTCGGAAGAATGTCTGATATTGCCATGATAAGGATAATTTGCCAATGTTTGGAAAACATTAAATAAAACGTTTAAAATATGATAAGCTTGGGACGTTAACAACCCCATAATTAGTCCATTATAGTCATGTGCTAAATATTTTTAAATAGTATAGAAAATATTTTTAAAAAATTATTAAACTTTTGATAAATTACGCCATTTGTTCAAGTGTAGATTTCTTAAATCAGTCAACCTCTTTTTAAAATTGTTTATTTTTTATAAACAATATTGTTATAAGAATTTCATGAAGTAAAATCATTTCTTTTCTAAAAAAGGTAATTTTACATGAGTGGTCCCATATTATTTTTAGAAATTTCGTGAAATACCTGATTTTCGTTAAACAACATTAATATAATAAATCTTTTTCGTAATTCTACTTAAACATTTTTTATTGATTATGTATAGGATAAATAAAAAATATTTTAAATGAGTCCTGATCATTCAATTAATAAATTATGTGTTTCGCTTATGGAACCTAAACTTAGACTTAAGTTAAGTCAAGTTTTTAAGTACATAGAAACTGACGATAAAAATATTGAAGTACAAACTTGACTAGCTATCGAACGGCTCGAATTAAAGGTTATTTTTCATTTATTTTTATTTGTAGAAACATTTCTTCAATTCTAATTCTATTAAACCGTTTATTCGCTTTGATCTAGACCTGAGCATTATATTAAATGAAATACTTTAAAATGTATACGATTTATTATATATTTTTTTTAATAAACAAAATAAATTACCAAATTCTGTATGTTCGTTAACTTCTATCATAAGAATGTCTGATATTGCCATGATAAGGATAATTTGCCAATGTTTGGAAAAGATTAAATAATGACTGAGTATAATAATGACTATTTTGTATTGAGTATACTTTCTAAGCAAATCCCAAATGCGCCAAAATGAATAATTTAATATTTCAAACTTAGTGTCCACTGGATTCCCATCCTAGTTATGCGACTAAGAGAGAAGCGCTGGGATCTCTTGGAGTCCTGCCTTATCCTCCACACGTGGGAGAAAAAGCCCGACTCGGAGCTCCCTCGGCTGACTGTATTGTAAATAAGTATGAATGTGTTTTTATTTATTTATTTTTTTAATGTTGTCTCACATTTGATTTATTCTGTTATTCCAAGTTTTATTTTCTTTCTTTTGTTATAATCTTGTTTTTATTTTATTGTATATATGGTATGTTTGTGTTAGATTCATCCTAAATACTCAATGCCCTTAATTGAGGCAAAATGTATTTTTTTCTCAATAAAGTATAATATTTAAATATTTCAAAGGTCAAATAACTGAACTTTCCTTAACTATATAACTGAATTATAATCAAAATACGTCTGTCAAGTAAAATCAGTATAGCCTCTTCACGGTTTTCAACGGCTCTATATTATTATTCAAGGCCTTTAATTAAATTTAATTTAATTAATATAAAATCGCCGGGCAAAACTATTTCGGAAATACAGTAATTCCTCTACATTTGCGGGTTTGATATCCACGAATTTTGTTTATCAGTGAAAATTAGTGTTGCCCAAAATCGGTCTTGGTCTTGCAAGGTCAAGACCGCCTAACTTTTGCAAGACCAAGACTGGTTAAAAAAATCGATTTTTCTAATAAAATTTAAGGAAAAATAGTTACTAATAGTTGACAATTACAGTTACTATATGTAAAGAACTGGTATAACCAATATACTTTTCCATTTAACTCTTCTAATTTTTCATTCGGGCTTAGTTAGGTTTTTCTTATCTAAAAAATTACATTAATATCTCTATAATTATAAGCTAATATGTAACTGCAAGACTGTTGGGAGACTCTTGTGCCAGACCAAGATCACGACCAAAACTGAGTCCGCAAGTCCAAGACTAGTGAAAATTAAAATGCGGAAGAGCTCCACATTTCCGAGATCGAGTATTCGATGATTCATGATAAAAAAAAAAATCCTAGTACATACTGAACATCCCTATCACTATGGTTGATTCAAAAGGTCGTATATAAAAATTATGTGTTTTACAGAAGAACATAAGAACTAATTATTTCTTTATTATGTGGCACTATGAATTCATATAGTACTGCCCTCAGCTATTTTCCATAGTAGCAGACTACCTATATCAGCTGCATACTACAAAATGTCACCTTTAGCACAAAAATAATAAAAATTATACATACAACTTTTGGCACTAACAGTAGCGATATAAATTTAACAGATATATTTTCACTTGTAAAATGAATAGATCCAAAAACTCATTGAAAAAATTTTAACTTTTAGTTTGTTAGGCATTAACGAGATCAATATTTTTCATCAGTCAAAACGAAACTAATTTAAGCTGGAATATAAAAATATGCGTGAAGTTCATATAACTTTGATGTTTAAGGAGGAAATCGAGACCACGACGAGCTGGCTGAACTTCAATAGAAAGAAATACAATCACAAATAATTTTTTTTTTTTTTTTTTTTTACAAACTCAGAGTAAAAATTAATTTAAATTTACTGAGCATTACACGAAATCTAAGTAACGGCTCTAAGTGTCATGCTAGTAAAGTTTGGAATCGACCAAACAATAAAGTATAAATTAAATTTTTGAATAAAACCTTATTAAAGTTGGTAACCTCATAAAAATATTGCATTAACCTAATCCCTATTACACATGATCAATGCCTTACAAATTTCACAACCATTATATTGTTAACAGTTATTTATATTAATTTTAATTATTACATGGAATTCAACGAAATTCATACTATGCAATTAATATAATGTTCTCCAAGTTTGAGTCAAATTTAACGAGCCGTTTTCGTACTATAAGCATGTCAAATAATACATTTATTGATCCGAAAGCGGAAGTTTTTTTGTAGCAGTGAATAGAATTCGATAAATTTGATATTCTCTAAATCATCTTCTAACCAACCCCTATCTTCCATCCACGTTTGAGCCAAATCGAAAGTGTGGTTTTAGAGATACAGGTGTATCAAGGAAACCACGTTTGCGTATATACAAGAAAAAGTAGTGGACGGAATTCAAGAAAATTGACACTCTCTTATTTTTTTACCAATAACTATATTTTATCCAACTTTGAGCCAAATCTAATGAGCCGCTTCTGAAATATTAGAATATCTATGAAAATACATTTACGCTTAGGCAAGCGGAAATAAAAAATGGAATTTGATAAAATTGATATGGAACCATCTAGACACTAACCCGCACAATCTCTGAAAATATGAAAATCGAATGAACCGTACTAGATGATATGCCCGTCACATCGATTTGACTACAGACAAACCGACGATAGACGCCGAACCAAATTTGATCCTTGATGTCTGATACGTAAAATGGGAGTGGAAATTTTCGATTCTGAGCACAACTTTAACTTATACTTAAACTTTACCAACTATAACTTCTCATACGAATACAATTCTTTCCTACCTTCGGTAGCAAGGAAGTAAAAAGTATATAGTATTTATTTATACTATATCATATTTTTTACTATTTATAAATTATTCATGTAGCGTTATTATAAATGGTTGTAAATATTAGATGAGGTAGAGAAGAAACTATATTTTAAATTATATAATAATAGCAAAAGTTGAATTGGCGAAGAAAAGAAAAAAATAAGTATACATATGACATGGGTTTGAGTAAGTTAGAAATGAAGAAAATAAAAGCGCTCAATGTTTACAACCTCTTTTCTGCTAAAGAAATAATAGGAAGCTATTTCGTACAGTTATCATTTAATTCCAAATTAAGGGGAAATGGCCTTGCTACTTGCTATTTCTTCATTTCCTAGCCGGCTTTATTTCTGGAGATTTAAGAAATCCCGAGCGGGTAGAGGATTTTCTTAATTGGAAAACCTTTTTAAAAGCTCCAAAAAAAAGGGGAGATGACCCAGTTAAGTGGATAAATTGAATAGAAAATAATAAGATTTTGGTCTTACATTCCATCATTGACAAAAGATTAAATAACGTCAAGAAATGGAGATCGAGAATCCGGACGGATTTAAATGAAAAAAACATTAGCTGTTATGTAGAACCTCCCTTTTTAACGACCAATTATTACTCTTTACGTTCAATCATTATTTTCATTTAAATCTGTTTTATTCTTTAAAAAATACACTGACAGGCAAAAAATTCCACCCACTTGATTTTTTCATGTTTTCATCTAAAAATATTTCTGCTTTAGATTGGTCTATCGTTTTTAATGAATAAATAGGTAATCTTTTTGTTTGTTTTCAATTAGGAATGTTAATATAGAGGACAATAACCCTTAATCCTTAATTCAATGAAATGATTCTAGATTCCAATGTTTACTTTCTATGGAATCAAAATGTTTATTCAGTTCCATTAGTTCAGTGCCGTTTTTTGCAGCACATTTCTTAGTCTCCGGCTTTTAATTTTTTCAATATTAAGTTTTAAAATGCTTCTTAGTGCTGAGGATGTTGCGCGTGGTGTGGCACTTATAGATGATGGACGTTCCATTAGATATGCAGCTAATGCCATCGAAGTTCCATATGGAACTTTACGAGACGCCGTCAGGCGTTTTCGAGAAACTGGTTCTTACAATAGAAGGCCCGGGGTTCTGGACGGCCTAGGGCAACAGAACCACGGGATGACCGGTTTTTGTCTTTCAACTTTATTTATTTTAGAATGAGCTTATATTTGGTACAAAACCGATTTCTAAAGAAATAATAGGAAGCTATTTCGTACAGTTATCATTTAATTCCGAATTAAGGGGAAATGGTCTTGCTACTTGGTCTTTCTTCATTTTTTAGCCGGTTTTATTTCTGGAGAAGGCAGTTTGAGGTGTATTATTGCATTTTTCGCAAGTAGGAGCTTCTAGACCTCATAAAAGATAGCTATGAGTGAACTGGCAGTGCCCAATCCTAAGGCGGCAAAGTATAATTTCTTCACGCCTGGAACTTCTGTTGCTAGTGAGCCATTTATCGCAATTTATTTCACTTCTTTCAGCTTACAATCTTTGATTTTTCAATCTTTTTCCCACTCCGCCAGTTGTTTTTTCTTTGTTTGGTATACCCAGTCTTCTAAAGTGATATATTTCAATCTAGTCACTGCCTCTTCTTCTCCTCCACTTCTTGCTAAATAGGCTGCGTGGTCAGCTTTTTCATTCCCTAAAATTCCGCAATGAGTTGGTACCCATACCAAGACAACTGACAGTCCTTTGTTTTTTATCTTCCACCAAATGTTAAGTATTTCTCAAATTATAGAGTTTCTGGGATATGGGTTATCAATGGCAGTTTAAACACTGTATGAGACCGTCACAACTACCCAGTAGTTCTTTTAAGATTCGCTTATAAGATATAAAGCAATCAGGATGGCAGTCGCCTCTCCTGTGAATATGGAGCATTCTCCAGGTATATTAAACAGTATGTCGTTCTCTTTAGTGTTATTAATTGTTTCATATGTTCCTTACATTATTATGATTAATTTTCTGTTTTTATTATTTTTCATAAGTTAATAGTTTCTCATATTGTTGTATTATCTTAGTCCTCAACTTTGAGCAGAAATTTCGACAAATATAAAAATAAATATCATTTATTTATTTTTATTGAACACCCAACCAACTTCTCTTTAATTAAACAGATGATTTGTAATTATTCGTCCAATAAATAACATCCTATTCTACTTCTAAATAGGTTTCTATATAAGAAAAAGACAAAGGGTATACCCTGATTACATAGTCATGTAATATTTATCCTTTAGGGGACACATACAAAATAATTGCAGGGTAGAAAGGACTCAGGTCAGAATGCAGCTGTATTTTTAAACACAATTCCGTCTCTCACTCCCTTGGGGCGCACAACCGGATTTCCTGCTTACACGTGTTGCTCAATCCAGAGATGGCTTCGTGTAAATTTAAAACATAAGTTTGGAACTGCTATAGAAATTTCGCTCAAAAATGGCGGAAACATGAACTCACACATAATGTTATGGTTACATTGAACGTTTTTAGGGAGGGGGAATTATTATCAACTCTCAACACTGAGTGCTTTTTATTTAGGGTAAATGTTCTAGTGATAGACAATTTAAGAGAAATTTACAACATTAATGTGAACCACAGCTATAGTTCTAACAGGGGATCTATGTAAATGGATTTAATTGGAAAACAATTTAATATTTTATTGATTTTTTTTTTTTATATACCGTCAATTATTCATGAAAGTCTTAAGGAATTCTGACAGCATATTTTGCACCAGTAATAGATACTCAAGTTTTTGGGATAAATAGCTTATTTTAAATTATTCAAAAATTCACAATAAATTCCCCACAGTTTTAAACTAAGAAATAGCAAACCATAGATGAATGACTAAAACTTATCTCCTGTTATCATCTGGGTTCAGTTTTAACTGTACACTCTTATTTTCACTCTCTTTTTTGGTGTATAAAGCTTATTATCTGTTAATTTAATTGAAAACAGTCAATTTCTGATACATTTTCCGTACAATTTTTAATAAAATAAAACACTTAAAAGTCTGATTTTCACTTTTGATTTGGATAAAAGTGAGTATTTCTTTCCACTAATGTGAGAACTCCAGGTCATCCCTCTGTTAAATATAAGTACAAAATAACATAAAGTTATGTACAGTAGATAACATAAAGTTATGTACAGTTATATTAAATTCAATCAATTAAAAACCTAAACGAGAAACAAACACGTACTAGCTTATTTATTCATTGAGTCAATAGAGAGAATATTTCTGATCTAACACAGGTATTATGATCGTGAGGTACTAGACAACAGAAATTAATCCCGCCCACGTTCCCTTGTTATAAATTAGAGCTCGAATGTGTCCCGGTCTGGCGAGTACAAAATGGCGACTCGTTAATCATTTTCTGACGTCTATGTGTCCCACGTAGGTATAATCAAATTTCGTAGGCTCCGCTGCTGTCATTTAATATATCTTTTCAAAAGTTTTCAAAATTTGATCTTGACATCCTGTCATCATCATATGAATGAAGTTTTTTTTTTTTACATCAATTATTATTAAAGCAAAGAAAAGGAAAATGATGAGGAGATAAAAATATTTTTTTTAAAAATGTAGAAGAGAAGGTAAAAGAAATTTACTAAGTTTAGCTGAAGGGGCGTTTATATTGGAGATTATAGGACGAAGGGGATTTTCAGGTTTACGGATTTTTGGGAGCTCATATAAGCAGGGTGCTAAGGAACTGAAGGATATCCACAAACCAAAAATCCACAAACCTGAAAATCCCCATTTTCCTATGTTATTTAACGTCCGTTCACCTAAACTCAACAAATTTCTTTTATCCTCTCTAAAAGATTAACCACGATAACTCCTATAATTATAGTAATAATAATTCATTTCATGTTAAGAATAAAAATTATTTGACATTCAACACATATATATGATCACGAACATACTATTATCATACCATATGATATATGGTTCTATAAATAAGATAAAAATAAAGCCAAGAAAAGATTGAAGATACTTAAAATTAAAGAAAATATAGTTTTATGACTATTATAGTGTATAAAATATTATAAAAGATCCTGTAGTGGATACGTAATTTGAATAAAGCAACATGGATTCGCTTCCCATAAACTATAAAAATATTTATAAAGACTTTTATCCTAGAAATGAAGTTTTCCGTTGTTAATTTAAAGAGCTGTTTTATGGACAGCTGGGATTGTGAGAAGACGTATTTTTCCAATAGATAATCTAGTTATACATCACCATAAATAATTTTTTTTAGTAAAATATTCCAAACTTTTTGTCATAAATAGTAATTTTATGGCATTTTTTATAGGAATTAATGATAGTAAATCAGCCACACCACAATTCATGAATGAAATAGCCGCAGGACTGATTCGTGACGTCTCTGTATTCCGTGTAACGTCACTATGAACCGTTTGATCTGTCTATCTACTACATCATCTGACAGGAACGCATTTAAGGGATGAGTGAATTCAGATAGTACCCATCGAAATATGAAAATTAACCGAACCAAAACAAAACAACCACTTTTTATTCAATGATATTAACTGATTAATATTGATAAGCGATCAACCCATTACTATGGCCTGAATAATTACAATAATTAACGTGTTATCTTCCTCTGAGGACGAGGTACACCGCCAACCTGATAAACCTAACAACGGAAATACATGTTTTGAGGTCCCTGAGTCGAAATAACGAAGTCCCACAAAATGGTCTGTGTGAGTGAGTGTGTTTGTATGTATGTAACAAGTCTAGCTCAAAAACGAAAAGTCGTATGAAAGTGAAAATGCATATTTAAGATTTGTATATATCTGAGATGTTACAGCAACGTTTTCGTCAAAATCGGCTAACCCGAAGTGTCACTTTATATCATCGATGAAACGCATCGGTTCCAACCATTTTGATTAAATTCTATAAAGTTTTTAATATTATGTAGGTTTAATTCTCATTGATGTTCTTTAACAGGGCTTAAATGGCTAATTTTCAATATTAGATTTCTCTAAAGCACCATTAATATTGTTTACCTCATACCAGACTGAACCGACGAGAAACCGCTCGACGTTTCCGATTACTTCAGCACTTACTAAACAAACACTCTAAACTTCCAATTAATTACAAAACACTCATATACATGACTATAATAAGGCCTATTTGGACTTACGAAGTTGAGCTATGGGGCTCTACTAAACCATCGAATTCCTCTCGTATCCAATTCTTACAATCCAAAATCCTTCGTAAAATCCTCAATGCTCCCTACTTCGTTACAAATAAAATCATCCATAATGACCTTAATGTTTCTTATGTTTCAGATCTGGTCCAATCCAGGTACCTATCCTTCCATAATAAACTTCAGAATCATCCCAACCCTCTCGTTTCTAAACTTGCTTCCTCTTCAATTCCTGATAACCCTCCGATGCGTCTGAAAAGAAAATGGCCTCGATATCTCCTAATGTAGACATATCATTAGAGTGCTATCATTGGGTAGTTACTCAGCAATTGTTTTCACGTATCCATATGTTAAAATTTACTAAATGTATTTCTTTAATACAGTTGTAAATATCATTAACAAATAATTTTTTAAAAAATTGAAAATTTGTTTATTTTTAAAACAACTAACCATTTCACATTTATCTCTAATACAAAAAAATAGTTAAATATAAAATATGAAAGATTTTGATAATTAACTAAAGGAGAAATAAGAGATCGCAACAGAGAATAATAGTAACGAAGGAATCAAAGCAATACGACAGCTCATCCGAAAATTAGAACAGACAATATTATGTACATGTGCATATGCGATTTTTTAAAATGTTTTCGTTGGTATTATTTAATATTCAATTGTATATATTACAGCTGTATAAATATTAAAATTTGTATATAGGAGGTACTTAAAAAAAAATCCACAATGAAATATAAATCAATATAGCTTTTATAATTTTTTACTTTCTTACTTAATTTTTACTTAAATAGATTGTATCCTTCTTGATCATGCTCTTTTATAATTCTTATAGCCGTAATTATTTAATTAATTAAGCACTTTGAATTTGGAAGTTACATCAATATTCTATATAAAAACTTTGCCTCTTTCAGAGTGAACTATCATTATTTTCAAACGCGTCCTCATCTAATTAAACTTCTTATACTAGGTATATAATATATTTATTCGTTTTGAAGAGAGACCATATATAGTCTCGCTGGAATTTCCTGAAGTCTAGCTTTAGGCAAATGTAAATATTGTATATAGATGAGAATGAGTTTTAGAAGAATTTTATTTGTTTATTTATTTTTTAATTTTTGTAATTAATTTGTGTAATTTTATCACATTGCTCACATAACAAAAAAAAAAAAAAAAAAATTGACAGAAATAGCAGAAAGGATATTCCAACACACTCCCAAGTATAACATTATCAACATTTAACAGTAATTGTAAGTAATAAATAAACAAAACAAATGTGAATTGAGCATCTCTGTTTCTCAAAATTTCAGATGCGCTCACAAATTTCATTTTTCACATCAATTTAAACAAACGAAACTTCAAACCAGCTACAAGAAACAACTATTCTCAATCGAAACAAAATATTTTCATGTAATTTTCTTTAACACTATATTTTTTTCATGACTTTAGGTCAGGGGCCAGTTGACAAAATAAGGTTAAAGGCTAACATTGTTTTTAGTCCCTCTATGTTGTGTTCCGAATAGGTTCAACTTTTCTAAAAATTAATAAACCCAAGAGGGAAGAGAAGCGGTCGCGGTCTCATATACTTCCCCTGGCTTAATTATCACAGAGCCTTTGTAAGCCCCCTTTCACATTAATAGGCCTAAAATTTGCACCCTCAAGATTAAACGTAAAAAGTAACGGGGTTCGACTCAGGTGTATTAAATCGTGTTACAATCTTTTTTTTTAATTTAATAAAAAAAAGGTAATTAATAGTTATGAGATTTTATAAGTAAGTAATATAGTTAAGTCATTCAAAAGCAAGTTAGATTGCCTTAAGCAGGTGGTGAATTTGTATGCACTTATACAAACACACAATAATTTGTTTTCGAATACAGTTCTATTTAAGCCTCAACGAAGCAGCTTATTTTATTTCAACAATTAAAGAGTTGGTACTATAATTGTATAATACTATTAATGCCATTCATTTATGATTTATTTTCCATTGAAGTAGCATTAAATGGCAAGTATGTAGATCATTCATTATTCGATCCTCGTCCCTATGGAATTCCATTCCCTCCAACAACTGTCACTGCAAAACCTTATCTACCTTTAAATCCCGCATATTCAATCACTTTCTATCCGTTCAGTTCACAAACAATTGTAAACAGTTTTTCATTAATAAATATTCAGTATATAAATTGATAACTTACTTTTAAAGCGTTTTGTTTTTAAATCATTACCGTGAGAAGTTATCTTAAATTTCTTATTATTTCTCTGTGTTTACAATATTATATTTTTCATAGAACTCTGAAGGTCGAATGTGTAGAATTATTCTGTTGTTTCAATCTACATTTTGAAAGGATCGAAGTTTATATTTGAGCAGAAGCATGATATTTTTTATTGTTTTTCTTTGCTTGGATGAGACCATTGATTTGCATGAAATTCTCACTCGTTTGACACTTCTTTATTCATAATGCATCGTTCCCGAGAGGCTTAAAAGAGATTCATACTACAGCATTGTATATGTGTATATATATATATATTTTTTTTTATTTGTCTTTTATATATATATATATATATATATATATATATATATATATATATATATATAAACATAATTATTTAATTGGGCATAAGGTGATTAATTAATTATTCAATAAACTACTAAATGTTCATTGCTTCAGTGTTTATTCGAGGTTTCGATCCAGGTTTTTTATAAGTTAACAATGGGATCCTCTTCAAAATTTTAAAATAGAGCCTCGATACCTCAGACCAGGAACACACTGACAGTCTCAGCACAGTCCACCAGCACATATATCAAGCTACTATAAGTATATAAGATACTATATATGAGAGTAGCTTAATATGTGTGCTGGTGGACGGTGCTGAGACTGTTGGTGTGTCCCTATAATAATGTATCGAGGCCGAATAAACACAGAAGCAATGGACATTTAGTAGTTTATTGAATAATTAATAAGTAACCTTATTCACAACTAAATAATTATGACAAAATTTAATACTCAAAGGTCGATTAAAGAAAAGTTATAAATATACATACATATATATATATATATATATATATATATATATATATATATATATATATATATATATATATATATATATATATATATATATATATATATATATATATTATTTATTCATTTATCTTATATTTTTCCAATGTATTTATTCTACTTATTTCTAAAAGTCATTCCATCGCAGAAACTAGCAGGTAGCAACGATTTTTCAATTTCGGAATTGTACATCTACGTATAATGGAAATTCTAGTTAGTCCTTGCGGAAAAAAGTTTGCATTCAGAGCCTTTTAGTTGATGGAAGCTTTTAAGCAACTTTTAAAATGTATTACCTACCGGAAGCTTTCAAATTGACTAGTGATTTTTTTACAAGGTTTTTAAAAAAAGAATATTAACTCGAGGATGTAAGGAACCTTTAAATAAACATATATCTTCAAATTAAAAAAAGTTGTTTTTGAGCCCTATTTTTGTAAACTGATGACTCCTAAAAATAGTGAGTAAGCTAGCATTAAATCAAAGGATAGGCGAGAAAAGAGATATGTAAATCAAATAAGACACTTATAATATCCTTTAGAATCATTAAGTAAACAGAAAAGAAACTTCAGATCGTTATCTACAAGCAATATCTTGATTGTTTTTCCAGTTATTATGTTGCTGCAGCAAACAACCTATTTGCTGAATGTCCCCAGGAAGTTTAGATTTGAACATACAATAATTATTAGACCTCAACATTGGGAGCCAGTCGATTATTCTCCGAAGTATTCTTAAGATGACATATATTCGATTCCATATAATGTGAAATTCCATATAATATGTACTCTGCTTTCCTTACAAGAAGTAATATTCTTCAGTAAATTGAGAGTGATAATATCCAACATCCAGGCCTTGTAGATCTACGCACACATTTTCCTTAAGGCTCTTCTTTATTTTCTTGTTCCCAAGTATATAAGAATATTTTCGATCTTCTACTTAATTTTATGAAATAAGATAAAATGAAAATTTTTAAATTTTTTTAGAAGATACCTCACCTATATAAAAAAAATACTTTATTTTATCGTTAAGACTTCATTCTTGATTCATACAATGGAAGTTAATTCTGCGGTGTTATCTATTCAATATAACATGAGAAATATACACTGTGATAAGGTGCTATCCATAGTAGTAATAATTGCACATTCATTTGCTAAATCAGAGAAAGAAGTGCTGTGGATGTTTCCATGTCTTCTAAACACACACACATAACTATTTATTTTATTTTCCATTAAATTTGCAACTGCTTCGAAACGCATCATGCAAATCCGTTGGCGTTTATTCTGTCTTCTTGTGTTCTTGATACATGCTTAACTTGTCAGCAGAAGATCTCTAGGCCACTGCCTTTTTAGTCACCGTTGCGGCTTACCAGGTAACAGGAAGCAAAAGAAAGATAGACAGAGTGAATTTGGATGATTGAGAGTAGAAGAATAAAATGTGTACTTGTTGTGTAGGATATTACTTTTGGTATGTTGATGTCTGTGTATAGTGTGATTTGAAATAAACCAAGAAGCATTGACGATTTTACGGAGTATTTTGGATTTTGTTTGAAAGTCTGTTGAGTTCCTTGTAAATGTCTTTTGGGTGAAATGTTGGCGGAGGTGGTGATAAGGGTAGTGGGATTGTCAAATCGTCTTCAATCTTGGTATTATATTATGCGTGTTGTCCTGAATATTACTCAAAAACTTGAGCAAGATGTTTTGCGAATTCGTTGGATTTTTCTTTTCCAGTTATGGCCCAGTATAATAATAATTTCATATTATTCTGCTTATTTATTTATGATATTTACAACTGTATAAAAACAATTTTTCTTCTTAAAAATAAAAAGCATATTACGAAGAAGTTTTCCTAAAAGTAGGATATCTGTATTATATTAGCATGATGATAGAAATAATTCCTAAAAGTTTATGATTTGTTTTAAACAGAACTTAGCTTAACTTAGCCGTTCAAAAGTCCTCTTTAAATGGTTTGAGCTATGACAAACTCTGTTTCCATTTGAAATAAATTTTGTCTTGTTAACAGTGAAGCAATTTGTAATTACTTAAATTAAATCTTTCTTTAGTTATCGCTTCATATTCAACAAAAAACATGATACTTGAAAACACAAAACTTGGATTTCCTTCTTTTCTTCTGAAAATCGGCTCATTGTTTATATGAATTTTTTTTAGCTCATGATGTCTGGTATCACTCCTACCAACATTTTTCTCTACTTACGCGACATCCTGTATAAATAAATGTATATGCATGTGTGTGTGTATATGTATATATATATACACTATATATACATTATTTTTTTTCGGTTGGCGCTACAGACGATGTATATATATAAAAGACTTGGGGTAGAAATGCGACAATCAGCTTTGATTCTAACCTCTGATAGATCGTACCACATGAAAGCAAGAGACCCTATTTACCTCAAGGGTCAGAACTTGGATTTTTCCAGAGCAAGATTAACTCTATTGATCCTTTTTTCACACCCTTCGCTTTCCCCAATACATAAGTCGATAGCTTCATAACAGTATTTTCGGCAATATATTTCAAAATAACTAACCTAATATCTTAACATTAACTTGTTTTATTGACTGAATTAGGGTCAAATAGTCAGAGTTATAAGTTCCTTTCTATCAAATTATTAACGTCCATCTAAAACTTAGTGAATGGCTTCATCTTATAGTAACATAAGACTTTTTTTACCTACGAAAATTTCCAGAAATGAGGCGTTTTCTCATTTCTCATTCTGTTAAATTTATTAATAAAAAATAAGGCACTACAAACTTATGGATACCCATTTGCTTTTCACTTGAACTATAATATAATTTGATCACAAAATCGAGAAAAAAAGGTGGCCTACAAAAATATTGGGTCGATTGGCCTGAATAACTTCGCTATTTTGACACAAAATCGTCATTTTGGGAGTATAGGTCACGCCATCCAGTCCAATATTTTTATTCTCGATTTTGTGATAAAATCATCTTACGATTCAAGTGAAAACCAAAAGGGTTTAGTATATCATTAAATATACTAAGTATGACGATCTCCAGATTGAAAACACCGCAGTCCAAGAATTTTCGTAAATAAAAAAGTTGAAGATTATGATAACATGAAGTGATTCATGAAGTTTCAGATATTAATAATTCTATAAAAAGAGCATTTGTATCACACACACTAAAAATAATCAAGAAGCTAATAGTAATATTTTTAACATGGCCTGAAAATAAGAAAGTGTGCTATTTTTCTCCCTTCAGTTCCGATCCTTTGCACACCCAAACTTCTTATTATAGTTAAATTGGCATCTTGGTAATTCGAGTTGAATAGACACGAGACCTCTTGGATTATCAAAAACGCGGACTATCGGAATAACGTTAGGAAACGAAATAAATCAAAACTGAGCCGAAAACCGAACGAACAACGTCTCACATATAGCTCATATTCGCTGATTCTCATACGTGATCAATAAGTCGGATATCCAATCCCATCTAGTCAATCGCTCACAAAGATGGAGGTAAACAGATAATAAGGCTAATTGCCTTATAATTTATATCTCCATACACCCTAGACCTAGGCAATTACTCGAGTGAATGTGATTACTCTTAGGGGTTTAGCCACGAGTAAATTAGTAAATTACTCATGAAACATTTTAACTACATGAGTAAATCACTCATGAAAATTTTTAGCTTCATAAGTGAATCACTCATGAAACATTTTATCGCCATGAGTAATTTAAAAAATAAAATATGTTTTTAATTTTATGTAATCTAATATTTTTTGAGTCTTTGCCAAACGTTCTATACTTTCCAAAATCATTAAATAAGTATACTTATTTTATGGTAATGTAATTGGTCCATTGTTTTTTTGAGAGGGGGAGGAGGTATTCATACAGCAATATAATACCAATTATATTTTTCTCCCATTTCTTAAACATTTTGTTAAATAAACGGCAAAATACATAAAAATTTATTAATTTGTATTCTGCAACTAATCCATATCCAGATCCTCAATACTCCATCTCTCTAATATTCCCTATGCAAATAGTCTTCCTCTATCAGAAGTCTAGCTATCATATCTTCCTTGATATCCCTTATCATCAGTATACGAGGACTTCCAAATCTTCATCTCTTCTGAGGGTAGTTCCTAAGCATATGAATGTTCAGAACGTAATGTTATTACATGTAAATAATGTTTTTATTAATCAAACATTTTTTTCATACACGAAATAAATCTTATTCTTTTTTGCTAGGAAGCTGTTTAATATTCTTTACTTTTGGCAATAAAAACTTCCAAGTATACAAATAATTGGTTAATTTGTTGAATTACATGTCAGGTTGACGTTTAGAGAAAATTATTCCCATATTCAAAACTTAAATTCCATACTTTCATAGCGATTTATGTAGTGTTGTCACATAAAATATTATAATTTCCTGGTGTGCTCCTTTGTCATAATTTAAAATTTATGTGTTATGAAAATAATAAAAATATACTGTCTGGAGAATCAACATTCCTAGAGTAAAAATAAAGAAATAAATCTTGACTTATTCACTGTTTGGACTCAAATTTTTCGCGGTACCTCGCCGAATAATTAGAGGCAACAAACTTGAAATAAGTTGAACCATTCAATCGGAAAATACATCTAAACACTTTATCTTCATTGTGCCCTCGTCCGTAGTCGAGTAATGATTAACAGGTTCACTATGAGTTAAGATTATATGGTTTGATTAATTTTTATCTTCTAAAATTTTAAAAGTTTGAGTAAGTGATAAGCAAACCTTTTTTTAAAAAAAAATTGTACCCATGAAGTCTCTTGGGTTCAGTACTCCTTAAAGAAGTACCATTTCTAGGTCAGCGGTTGTGCTAAGAGGAAAGATAACTAAACGATTAAATGTAGATTTATTACTGTATACAGATTATAAAAAAAAATAAAAACTTGATGTATTGACATATCATATTTCTTGGTTTGCAAAATGAAATATCGATAGAAAGTAAGCTTTTGTATCATATTTATTTTGAAATTGAAATTACATATAATACTGTGTAGTATATATAAAATATAATGGGGTAGTTCAGGGAGAATGGTGCTATCTTTCAATGCTCATGGTTTCAGATTCGAGTCCGATTGTGGCAGGTAAATATTTATTCTGACTCATATGTCACACCCAGACCGTATAAAATTGGTGTACTTAATTCAATGATTAATTACGAAGGAAAACCTGGCGGTTGAGTGTGATATCAGCAGAACTACCTCCCTGCACAATCATTGTCCTTGAAGCAGTACGAGTACTTCATAACGTGCTGAATCCTCAATCGGTTGTTGTGGTACGATCGTTTTTAAAAATTATGTTAATACTTTACTAAATTATCTCAGAAGTGTTAAAACAAGACCCTACGTATAGTTAAATTCACGAAGGAAAGATAATTAAACGCATTATTTAAGGAATCTTATCTGCCAGTATTAGAAGATATCAAAGCAAGGAGGTTAAGATGAATAGGGGATGTTACTCGAAGCCGTCCATTAGAAGCAATCTACATAATCATGAATAGTCACAGCAGTTGCTATTAAATCATGCAGGAGTTCTGGATATAGATATATATATATATAGAAACCAGATCCTAGAGATACAAAGAAAATAAACAGCATAATAATGTAGAGGTAACTTTGCTTTAGTTATATGCTGCTAACTTTGACTTTACACTAATAAACATAAAAGAAACGGGTTTATAAACTCAAGAATATATCCAAATAACCATCAAAATAAATAAACATTAACAATAAAAATGTTACATTAATTTTCTAGTAAATTTATGGATGGGGCGGAGTGGCTGAGCGGGCCAATGAGTGTGCAACGCACGGCCGCTGTCCGGCAACCCGGATCAAATATAAATTGATAAAATAAATATGAGTTCGCGTTCTGGTGCCAGTGGGAAGGGACTTTTAACTCTGGCATTAATCCCCCGCTCTCACCCGCTGGCCTAGGATAACTCCGTATAGACTAAAACGCGAGGAAAGGGAGGACGAAAAAAAAAAGAAAGCAGTTTTATGGAGTCTTTAAACGGTATGTTACGACTAAACTGAATGATTTTACTAACGACAGATAACAGTATGCATATAGCATCTGCATATTTTATTTGTTAATCCTTTTGACTTTTATAAAACTAACAATTAATTTAAACAAAATTATCTTCAGTTTAAACAGACATCGAACAACTATCTAATGCATCCCGTTGGGCACCATTAGGAGGACAACTGAGACACTACAATGTCCTGGAAGACCAAGATAAGGAAAGACTAAGGAAATAGCAGGATACAAATGGTTTCTCTTCTGATAAATATCTGTTCTGTCCTTTACGATTATTCACCACAATACATATACGAATGATTATCAATTTGCACACAATTTTAACTCTTCTATAATATTTTATACAGTGAAGATAGGCGTAGACTTTCGATTTTGATTGGGGGAGGTAATGGCAAAAAAAAAAAATTGCGAAAATTTTTATTATATGTGAACATTCAATATGTGTGAAGATCCATTAGTATGAATATTGCGAAATAGCATTTGTGTAGCCTACGCACTTCTCCGATGGAATTATCCCTTTTTAGGCACATTGTTCTATCAGTGGTACTTTATTTTTTAATATTTCCAAGTAAACTATGATTGTTTGTTTATTTGATGTTTAATATCATTAGTTAACGAATGAAAAAAAAACGATTATATGACCATTATTTGTTTATTTGATGCGATCAATACTATATTTATTATGGGATTATATATTATATCAAAGTCGAGATGTGAACGTCACACTAACTTAAAAATCAAAATTCAAGTGACAACGAAATTCAATTTCATTCCGGTCTTGGCTGTCCATTCAGACTATTATCGGTTCACTAATCAAAGGATGCCCTACAATACATTATTTAAGAGATTATGGCTTTTTAAGCTAAATCTGACCTCTTACTTTTTGTCTCTTTTCTTTTAAAGTGCTTTGAAGTCTTTTCCGCCCCGGCACTGCTTTACAGCTTTGTGTGAAAGTCCCTTTTTCTAAATTAAACGCATGAAAAAATTATTTCAAAGGGAGATAAATGTCGTGTGCCGGTCTTGCTTAATGTTCTAATTAGGAAGAGGCAAAATAATGCACTTTTTGCAGTAGCTTTAAATGTACAGACAGAACTGTTGTCATATGGATATTTTTTTACGATGTATGAAGAATTTAAAGGATGGGATTCAGTTATGGCCAAGATATTTGAACAGTTAGAGGAAATAAATTCCTTTAATCCATGTAATTTATTTTTGTTTTTTATTCAAGTTACTTATTTCTTATTTTAGCGATATATGAGTATAAAATAAATTGTTCATTATTTTTATTAATTATATATTTAATGGAGTTAGGAATAGAACTCCTGTATAACACGTATAATATTATATAATATTACCAGAACCATAATATTGCTGAGACTAATAACTATTCTAGGTTGAAAGGATCGTGAATAGATAAGCAACTTGTTTAGTTTATTGTGACTGTAATCTTTGTGGTGGCAAGTTTTATTTACGGATGAGTATTTAAAGGTATCGTACTATAGCATTTTGTTATTATGTCTCAAGTTAATGGAATATAATTCTAATAATTTTTAAAAATTTGCTGGTTTTGCAAGTTAATATAATAGAAAAATTATTAGTACAATAAGGTGTTTAAAAACGTACTGTCTATTAATCTAGAAGAGAAATAATAACTTCGAATAATATGAAAAATTTTGAAATTTCATCTTCTGCTGCTTTTGGTTTTTGGTTAATATTAGTTTGAAAGTTGCTAAATACACGTTTAATATCCTTTACCATATCAATCATTGGTGGTTCCTAATTTTTAAGTTAGGAACTTAGGAAGCTATAGAAATTCATTTTTAGATTTTATATTTGATATTTTTAACTTATAATATAAAATAAAACCACACCTTCTTTCAACTTACTTTCTGATTCTTCAGTCTTTCATTCTTGACAGGTTCGTCTGTATTAATATCGATTCCTCTACTTCTCCCTTCTTTCCTCAACTTGCGGGCGTACCACAAGGTAGTGTTTTAAGCCCTCTTCTATTTTCTATCTACACATCTGATATATCTGAGCACCCTAGTACCATTCTCTATAGCTTTGCTGACGATAAGGCAATACTTTCTTCTCACAAAAATCCCACTATCGCTTCAATAGCCCTTCAAAATCATCTGCACGACCTTGAAAAATGGTTTCACAAATGGAGAATTAACATCAATCCCAGCAAGTCAACTCATGTTAGCTTTTCCCTGAGGAAGATCTCATGTTCTGCTGTGACAATGGACAATAAATAAACCAGTTCCCTCAAAAACACATGTACGGTATTTCGGACATACTTGGACAAAAAACTCACCTGTAACATTCACACTAAATTAAAAAACAAGAACTGACCAGACGATACAAACAACTTTCACATCTTTTAGACTACAGATCTCTACTCAACTTACTAAACAAGCGACTAATCTACACCACTATACTAAGACCTATTTGGACATACGGAGCAGAACTTTGGGGTTCCGCAAAACACACACACATAAACAAAATTCAAACCACACAATCCAAAATACTCCGTAAAATCCTCAATGCTCCTTGGTTTATTTCAAATCACACCATACACACAGACATGAACATACCAAAAGTAAAATCCTACATACACAAGAAGTACACAACATTTCACTCTTCTACTCTCAAAAATCCACTCGTTCTATCTCTATCTTCCTCCCTGTTACCTGGTGAGCCTCAAAGACAAGGCAGTGGCCTAGAAATCTGCTGAAAAGTTAAGAAAATATCAGGAATTAAAGAAGATATAATTAACGCCAACACATTTGCTTGATCCGTTCCAACGCAGTGACAAATTTAAAATAACAAAAATAAATAAATAAATAATAATTTTCAGACTTGCGACTTGGATTCTAGCAGTTTGTTTACTTAGGCATCTTAGGTTAGCGTTTTTTTTTATTAGTATAAGCATTCTTTGGAGTTGGTTGTGTGTGGACTCCTGCAATTTACACAATTTGGTGTATATTTCTCAATATTTTTGTTCAGGCATTCATTGGAATGGTGTTCACCAAAGCGTTTCATACATTTGGGTTTTTTTTATATCAATTGAAAGTAGACAAATTGTTGTAACCTTCATGGTGGAAATATTGAGTAACTTCTTTTTTTTATTAGTGTATTTTTCCCAAGAGACAATGGCATTGCACACATATTTTTTTTTTAATCATATTTCTTGGTATTTTTCTTCGAGTGTAATAATTTAGATAGGTAATCTTGGAATATTTCTTCTTTTTTTTCTTTTCTTTTTTTTTATAATTTGATTTACTTTTATTTCTTTTGGAGTCAAATCTTTTTTTAATAAAATCACATTCAAATTTTGAAGGAGCTCTTTTCATAAAAATTTTCGATTTTCGGGATATAGGGTTTAAATGCATGTCATTTTTCTAAAATTTCGTTTGGAGCTTTTTGAAATCTTCGAAATTATAAGTTTAAAATATTGTTTTATTTCTTCTGCATTCAATGTTAATTCCACCTATTCAGTTATCATTAATTGATTTTAATAGCTACAAATAATTATGGAATGTGTTATCAAATACTATTGCTAGGAATAAATGTATTTGTATGATATTTATTGAATCAACTATATATTCTTGATATCCTTCGTTATCTGATAATTGTGAAAAACTGTCACTTACAGTTATGCATTAGTAACACTAATTTTTGTAGAATAACTGCACTGAACTTATATAGATAGGTATCTATGAATTATTAAGTTTTATAATATAATTTTTCGCCTATTTAATATTTTTAATCACCAGAACTAAAATATTAAAAAGTTAATATGTAAGTTAATACAAGGTTAATATGTAACATGAGTATAAGCCACAGGTGATAAGAAATGATTTTTTAGGGCATCTGAGTAAGATCAATACCCTCTGAAATGAATTGATACAATTGAAACTCTGTGTGAATAGAAAGAATGTAATGTTAATCAATAATTAACGAAAATTAATAAATGAATGCTTTATTATATATATATATATATATATATATATATATATATATATATATATATATATATATATATATATATTAAATTATTTTCCAAATATTCGCATATATGTATATATGTAGTGAAAAATTACTTTATGTACTGCCCTGGGGTTTTTCTTGACATGAGTCAGGCTTTTGATAGAATATGGCAAGATGGTTTATTACATAAATTAAAAACGATTATTCCTCCGACGCATTACTTAATTTTATTATTATATCTAAAAGATAGATTTTTCCGTGTGAAAACGGGGACTGAGTTGACCTCAAGGCAGTGTTTTGGGTCCAACATTTACTGGTCAGACATTCTGAAACACTGTTGGCAACATTTGCTGATGACTCGGAAATATTAACATCTAACAAGGACGCAGCTAAGGCTTCTCAGGTACTTCAAGAACACCTAGACGACATAGCTTGTTGGGCTAAAAGGTGAAGGATAAAAGTGAACGAGTCTAAGAGCCAATTTGTTTCATTTCCACTTAGACATGACTCTTGTCCTCCAGTGTTCATAAATAATATCAATCTGTCAACTTCAAAAACTGTACAATATTTGGGTCTCCACTTGGGCAAACTACTGACATGGACATACCACATAAAACAAAAAAGAAAAAAACTCAATCAGTGATACTGACTTCTTTCTAAGCTACTTGACAGACGTTCTAAATTATCTTTGACTAATAAATTAACTATTTACAAAGTCCTCATTAAACCACTTTGGACATATGGAATCGAACTATGGGGAACAGCAAAGAAATCAAATATAAAAATCATCCAGTCATTCCAGTCAAAAGTCCTTCGGAAAATTGTCGACGCACCATTTTATGTTTCAAACCTTACGTTACGCACTGACGTCAACACTCAACATTACGGCCACTGACCGCTTTAATAATTTTTATGACAGACTGACTCTAAATTCAAACCAACTTACTCAAGCTCTAAGGATTGCTACAAATCCATATAATCCGCCCAGAAGACTGCTGAGGCGCTGGCCAAGAGACTTTTTGCATTGAGTTACTTGCTGTATTATCTCTTTTTTGTGTGTTATTATTTTATTATGTGTTATTTTATTAGTTTTTTTTTTTGTCTTTTTGTTTTGTTATTACTATTCTTTCTTTTTTTATGCTATCATTTATTCTCCTTGATATCATATTTGCTGAATACCTAGGTAGATGGTACATTTATTGTGAGCCAGGAATATGTGCAACTAATAAATAATAATAATATGTTTTTATGCATTATATATATATATATATATATATATATATATATATATATATATATATATATATAATATATATATATATATTAAATAAAACATTCACAAACCGACGTTTCGGTGATTTCCTCTTCTTTAGTGTCCTCTCCTTGATGTGACAGAATGTGATATTTCTAAATAAACAAATATATAATATATAAATTCAAGTGTTATTAAATTATAAACAACGTTATTTACAGCTCTGAATTTCCATTGGCATTATTTAAAAATTTATCAAGATTATAAAGCTACTTCAGGATGCAAATTCGATTATTCGTGCTTGACCACAACCACGGAAGCAACTACCTTAGTAACCAAATCACCTCCAAAACTATCAAAATGAAAATCAACGCAAATCCGATTTGAGGCTAAACCGCGCCAAGGTAGAATGTAATTTGTAGGAGTTCCACATGAAAAGAGATTAAAAGGGGATTTTTAATTTTGTTTCATTACTGGAGGTTAGACTAAGTTCAGGAGTTCAGCTAGCGGTATTGTGAGGGGAAATAACTTTATTTATAGAATAAGGGCAATTCCATTTCAATTCATTTAGCTAAAAATTAAAATGAAAACCATGTTCTCACTTATTTATAATTATTTTGTTTCTTTTCTATGCTTAGTATTTTAACTATCAGCCGATCAAAATTTTTTTTTTTCTTAAATACTTTTCGTGTTTAGGGTTCTTCATTTGTATAAGGTTCTTCCCTTAATACTATTAAAGATTGAATATTGAATTGAATACTTTTCGTGTTTATAAATGTCGTGCGTATAAATTTTCCAATGACTGAAAACGAAGTTTTTTTTACTACCGACAGCTATGGTTTTAATTACTTAGTATAAGTAAAAACTTCATAACTTTGGCAATTTTCATCATATCACAGTGATTGTATCACTTACATGTTTAAAAAGATCTTTAAAATAAGACGAAACTGTTTTTAGCAATATATATATATATATATATATATATATATATATATATATATATATAAGAAGATGGAGAAAGCTCGCTCGAGACAGAGGAGAGTGGCGAAGGATCATAAGAGAGGCCTAGGGTTCTGACAGGACCATAGCGCCTGGAATAAATAAATAAATAAATATATATATATATAATATATAGTATATATATACAGGACTGTATGAATGCCCTATTGAAGAACAATACTTTCTTGATACCGTCTGCAAATAGAGAAACGGAAAACGACATTCTTTGAAATAAAAGAATGAATTAGGACGAGTCATATCGTAATTACAAATTTTAAAAATTTTATGGCAAGGTGCATGTTTGCAGGTTCTTGAAAATGGCTCCTGAAGCCGAAACGTTGGAATCAACATACATGTAATATATAAAAAAACTGTGTTTTTTTGGTGACCTATGGCCTATAATAGACATATGTTAGATTATGAGAAAATGGCACCAAACCCGAAGGATGGGACTAGAAAATTAAATATATATATATATTCTTTTTTTTTTTGTTTTCGGTTGGAGCTACAGACTATGAAGATCTTTGACCGCGAGTGTGGTTTCCTAGACCACACCCCGATTCCCGATTTAAAGTGCGGGGTAGAGTTATCAAGTCTACGTCTGGTCGGTGTGAGTTGCCTCCAGTAGACTGACGGGCCTCAAGTATCCTCGGAGGAGCGGGGTATCTCGGTCAGGCATTCCTTGGTGGACGGTCACCTATCTAAGTGCTACTAGCCAAGCTCGGCGTTTTTTAACTTTAATTAGCCAGCAAGGCTACCCCAGCCCCTTATATACAGATATATATTTATATAATTCTACAATCATTAATAGCGCATGCTTGGGCTTCATAAATATTTTAAGGTAAAACGTAGATTTAAAAAATAAAATTTAAGGTTATAATGGTGTTAAGATATTTAGCTACGCCGTAGACCAGTTACACGTGGCTACTTTAACCTCACATGTTATGGATTCCTCCCCTTTATTGTAGATCTTCTCCAAGGGTGGAGTCCGTTTGCTTCTGCGCCTCCTCTGTCCGGTGCCTTCACGGGAGACCCTACAGTATGCAAATCAAACGAGATAGGGCAGCACCCACGTGACGGAATTGAACTATGAATCACTGGCCCGTCACTAACTCTCTCTCTCTCTGTAGATCTTACCCGGAATAATCATATAATCTTTTTTTTTTTCTTCATTTCTTCGCCATTTCTTGAGGGAGAGAAGTGCCTAGCGGTCAAGATTTTAGTATATTTTTAAGCGAGGAAATCCCTCATACGCTTCTTTAGTTCTTTTTCGGGCATATTAATCGTAGCCATGCTTGTATGAGTGTGTTAGTATGGCCATGTAAGTTATTGTGAAATATTTTGTAGTGTGTTCGTATATGGTCGTTAACTGATTAGATATTTACGTAAAGTAACATTTGTGAAGTACCATGGAGCTTCATTACATGGGTCGTTTTGGCTGTTCCGTATATTTGTGAAGCGTAGGTCCATATAGGAAAAATCCTCTTAGGTTTAAAATGAAGCCCTTTAAGCCACATTCTTTCAGATGCTTGAGCGGTATCCAGAAATATTCCTGTTGCATACAATTTCTGCACTAATGGCGTTGCACTGTAATAATATAATGAATTAAGAAAAGAATGAATAAGTTTTTTTTTTTTAATTTTTCCCAAAACTAAGCCAAAGGTATGCCAAAGAGGGATTAGTTAAATAAACGATTGCTGGAAAATTTACAGTTTTTATATATAAAATAGATCATATTCAATAGCATTAGTAAACTTCTATCTCTTTTCATGAGTAAAATATAGCATACATTTTAGGATTTTATATTAGCTATGTGAATTTAACTCTTGTCCTATTTACACACTCTAATTGTCTTTCCCAGGTAGCCAAGAGCATCCTATGGAGGAAATGCTGGAGAAGATGAAAGAGGTGGACAAAGTTGGGAGGCGCCGCTCCAGAGCCACGCAGTCTTCCGAGGATATGCCCGTCTTCGACAATACCCTCAATACCAACGTCACAGCTGAGCTCGGGTCAACCGTTTACCTGTCCTGCAGAGTCACTAATCTCAAGAACATGACGGTGAATATTTGTTTTGGGTTCTAACAGAAAAGGCTTCCCCTAATCTAAGAGATTAGAACAATAAGAAATGATAAAACGCTCGCAGAAAAATCTTAATACATTAATAAAAAGATTGTTAAAATATATACAGAAATCAAAGCTGAATGAGTGTAATAACAAAATGCTGCAAATTATTTCACAATGGTTTATTATTTCCAAACAATAATACATCTAAAGTAACATTACCTTCCTAGTTATAAAGAAAAATAAATAAAAGGTGATTCCAATTATTACACTGAACTTTTTTTTTAATCATTAGTAATAAGCTAAAAAAAAAATAAAATAGCATTACTTCAGTAACACATTCAAAATTTAAAAAAACCGGAGACCATATCTTTGCTCCGAATTGTCCGATTTTAACGACTTTTTTTTTATTTTTTAGGAAATTTCGTAAACTTTTAAACAACTATACTAACGAACCACAATAAAACTAAATTAACAATACCTACAGAAAAATGTAAACTGTTTGAGTTATTGAGAATTTAATTTTACCATGCCACGTAACTTTTTTTCCAGCTTCTTTTCATTGAAGTATGTTATATAGATAAATTTAAAGTGCGTCGATAGAATGACTTTAGCGAAGTTTCATTGGAATCGGTACATTTGTTTAGGAGCTATAGTCTATAGCAACGCAGGTTTTTCGGCCGCCATTTTGAAAATAAAAGGCGGATAGTAATGTCGATGAAGGAGGATCATCCTTGGATGACCTCTGATTTTATATCAAAATTATAAAGAAATTGGTCCAGTAGTTTTTTTTTTTTATTCGATTTTCGAATTCTACGCATCGTGAAACCTGAAACCTCAAATTTTGAGAGGTGGTTAAGTTTTTGAATTTTTTGGTCGATCACAATGGTTGATTATTGAAAATAATAAACCAAAATTATAACAATACTCATTTAATTTTTTATAAAATACATAAATAACTCTATCTGTCATAGAAAAAAGTTCTTGAATGTCTTCATAAACTCTTTTCTAAATTAACTTGTTTTTTGCTCTTTTTTTTTTCTCTAAATTCACTTCTATTCTTTTTATTTATTTTTTTCTGAATTGTCGCTAATAAACAGTGCATGTTTCAAACACTGTAAAGTATGGGTTATCCCAAATATTTTTATTATATTGTTTTCATCTTTTACGAGATCCATTTGTATTTTTCAGTCAGATCTAATCTTTCTTTTAGAAATCTCTCTTTCTTCTTCCGCAGTATGGAAAGCGGAGAAGCCTACTTGACATTTTTCATTATTCAAAAACAGATGCGTTTAATAATTTATTACATCGCTAACTTATGTAGTTTGTTAAAAAAAAAAATTACACAGGAACAATTACACCCAAGTACTGTGCACCAATCACTAGGATCTTTAAGGTTCATACGAAATATCTGGAGAACCCCAAACGAGAAACTTTTTTTTTTATTTACACTTATTGCTTTGTTTCATTTTCATTTTCGGATAAGAAACCACTTGAATACCGACTACCCGAGAGCCCCGAAGTTTCTTTTATTGTGCCGAAGAATCTTAAAGGAGAGAAACAAATAAAGAAAGAAGGGACTAGCGGGAAGGTAGTTATCTAGACGGGAGCCGAAGCCCTAATGGTCCTTCGTTAGCCTTGCTATCTCACGGAAGATCCCTTAAGAGCCAAGTAAATACTGACTAAATGGATGGCTCCTTTAGATCTGCCTGGGGAGTCAAAGCAGCTCTTCTGAAAGAGTTCTTCAACCGAGGGTTCTTATTATACTACCTTACGCTCCGCCCTCCCCCCCTTCTTTCTTCCCCACCTTTTCTGATTCCTCTTCAAATTCATTTTAAGCCAAAAATAATTTATAAAGTTCATCTGCTCCCAGTGGCGTGGATAATGCCCATGCGGTGCAACCCTTAAGATGAGCAGTGCATAAACGGACATTCTAGAAAACTTTTCAACTAAACGAAGAAAAATATGTATATATTTATACAGTGAATACTTGATGGTTGACCGTGGTATATTATTGAGTAAGAAAATGGTCCGGTTGGCGGTCATAAATAGACTAAATTAGTAACAAACTATTCATTTAAAGCCAACGTTTCGACCTGACTTTGCAGGTCTTCTTCTTTACCAGAACGAACAAGAAACAAAATCCTTAAGAACAATGTGGCAGTTACATAACGCTCAGATACAAAATATAAACAATGTGAATAAACTTATTAAAATTACACACACTTAGAATAGCAAATACGAAGAAATATTAACAACAATAAACTACATAAACAGAGTAAACGAAATATAACTATATAACAAGACCCTAAACTAAAGTAAATAAATAATAACAATTATTGTAGATTATTGGAAATATAGAATAAGGACGATCGATAATATGCGGAACAATGGATATAATCCTACAGATCTCAAGGAGAGAATGGAAGAAAAAGAAAAATAATAAAAAAGAAGTAATAATGGACATAAAGGGTGTGTGAAATAAACCAAAAAAAAAAAAAATATGCAGTTGAGAGTTTCGGTTGAAACTGAGGAAACATGAGGGGAGAGGGAAAAAACATATGAGAAATTATATTTAATATGGTGGGCACCTTGATTATAATTGGTTTTGTCACGCTTTGTTTTCAAAAACTATTTAAATAGTTATAATACAAATTCAGTTTTTACCAATTTTATAGCGGAATCTCTCTGATTATTCACGTGATACAGTTAAGTGTATATCAGAGCAGTTGATATTTACTGTTGGCATCTTTTTTTTTGTTATTTTAAGAAAAAAAAAAAAAAAAAAATTTTTTTTTTTATTTATTTTTTTTTTTTTCTCTTATGATATGCGGTATGATCAGCAAGTGATGGCCAGTAAGGTGCCCAAGAGGTCTCGGTCAGACGGAGTTAGCTCACCAGCCAAACAAAGGACTCGTCGCTGCCTACGAGAAATACCTCCAGTGACCAAAATGAACACTTCAGAACCAGAACCTCAGCCCCAACCAGGTACGTCTGCACAAGAAACGATTGAAGAATCACCTTTCTTTACTCCAAACCCCTACCAAGTGCTTCAAAATGACAGAGAAGTAATGGAGTCTGCAGCAATACCCAGAGAACCAAAGCCTCCTCCGATATTTGTGAAAAATATAAAAAATTTCCAGATGTTCTGCACCCAACTAAATAAAATCTGCTCTGGCAGTTATTCATGCCTTAACAGGACCAATGACACCAAAATAACACCTGATTCTGCAGAAGCCTACCGAAAAATAGTGAAGTACTTATCAGAAACAAATGCGAATTTTCACACTTACCAGCTGAGGCAGGAAAGAGCTTTACGAGTAGTGATAAGAAATTTACATTCCTCAACCCCCACTGAAGTTATTAAAGAAGAACTAACGACGCTTGGTTTCAATGTACGCCAGGTAACAAACGTTTTGAAGGAGGACAGGGAGCAGCCAGGATTACGAAATAGGATCCCACTACCATTGTTTTTCGTGGACTTGGAGCCATCACCAGGTATCGAAAAAATATATGATATCACAAGAATATACTACACAATGGTGAAAGTTGAGAAGCCATATCCCAAGAGAGACATCGTGCAGTGCCATAATTGTCAGACCTATGGCCACACGAAGACATATTGCCACCATCTGCCGCGTTGCGTGAAGTGCGGTGAACAGCACAAATCTGTAGAGTGCACCAAACCTATACAAGATCCAGCAGTATGTGCCCTATGCTTGGAGGAACACCCGGCCAACTACAAAGGCTGCCAAATTTACAAGAATCTCAAAACCAGACACCAGAAAAACCGGATTCAAGATGAAGCACTAAGAACAAGAAGAGAGAGAGAGCCTTCCAGAATTGTAAACAATGATGTATCATTCTCCCAACTACTTAGAGGTAAGACTTTAACCGATAAATGTCAAGCCCTGCCACAACAACCTCAAACCCAACCTCAAAATCCTCTTCATCCTAATATACCTGACCACCAACAACAAATTCCTCATATTCCTCCTCCTTCAAATGCAACAGATCTCACAAGTTTGTTAGCATCTTTCCTCACCGATTTCAAATCCCTTGTTACTCCACTCATATCACTCCTCACGAATCTCGTATCTCACCTCATCCCTCCTCTGAAAAATCCTTAAATGACTCACATCCCTAAACCCATATCCATTCTCCTTTGGAATGCGAATGGTGTTAGAAATCATACAGACGAACTATCTACTTTACTACTTGACAAGAACATTGATGTGGCACTAATTACTGAAACTCGACTAACCACTAAACAGCACTTCAATATACCACAATACCTGACATATCGTACTGACCACCCTGACGGAAAAGCACATGCCGGTACTGCTGTAATTGTACACCAATCCCTCTCCCATCACGTACTCCCATTACCAATACATGATTTCCTACAGTCCACCGCTATCGTGATAAAAACCTTCTCCTTTCCGGTCACTCTTGCATCAGCGTATTGCCCTCCTAACCGATCCATATCCAATGCCCAATTCAGTTCTCTCCTCGACTCCTTAGGACATCACTTCATCTTGGGTGCAGACCTAAATGCCAAGCACCAACAATGGGGTTCCAGAACCACGAATTCTCGTGGCCGAACCCTGCTGTCTGCACTCAATTCCCAACGTTTTCACCTCCTTTCCCCCAACTCTCCTACCTACTGGCCCACAGATCCCAACCGTAATCCTGATCTTCTTGATTTCTTTATCCACAGCGGCTTAAGTCCCCTCAATTGTTCCATTACACGTCTAAATGAACTTTCCTCTGACCATAGTCCTCTAATCCTTAATGTTTCACTTGAACCTGTTCCCAAACCTTCTCCACCGTCATTCATTAGGGGCCCAGTAAGCTGGGACCTTTTCCGCCAAATAATCTCCGATAATATTGATCTCAACATATCCCTCAAAACTCCCGATGACCTTGATAGTGCCGTAAATTCCTTTACTACCACAATCCAACAAGCCGCCTGGACTGCCTCCTTCCCTAAAGACTCCTCCAGAATTCCTAAAAAGACCATTCTACCCCAACACCTCCTTGACCTAATCCACACCAAACGCCGTGCCAGATTATTGTGGCAACGTACCCGACATCCTGCCGACCGCTGCTCCTATAATTATTACTGCAAAAAATTAAAACTGGAATTAGCCACCTTCAGATCACATTCCTTCAACTCCTACCTATCCTCCCTCTCTTCTCGCGACAATTCCCTTTGGAAAACCACAACCAAAATCCTAAATCCTCACCGCATTTCCCATCCCCTCCGACGAGATGATGGCTCCTGGGCAGCATCTGACGAAGATAAGGCTGAGGAGTTCGCCATTCACCTATCCAATACATTTATTTCACATCCGGAATCCCATCCTGCCCACACCATAACAGTAGAAGAACTCCTTACATCACCAATCCCACTTTCCTTGCCCCCAAAAGCTATTCATCCTTCCGAAGTGAAATTTCAATTAAAAAAACTAATCCCCCGTAAAGCTCCTGGACATGATCTCCTTACCCCTCAAATCCTTCGACAACTTCCATCCAAAGCAGTCATATTCCTTACATATATCTACAATTGTATCCTACGCACCACCCACTTCCCTCTGCTATGGAAACACTCCACTATTATCCTTTTCCCAAAACCAGGCAAACCTCCCAATATCTCAACATCCTATAGACCAATTAGCCTACTCCCAATCCTTTCAAAAATTTTTGAAAAGATCCTGTTGAAACGAATCCTACCCATTATAGAATCCCAAAATATTCCTTCCCATCAGTTTGGTTTTCGCTCCCAACATTCTACTGTTCAACAAGGACTCCGAGTTGTTGATCATATTTCCTCAGCTCTAGAAAACAAGGAATACTGCTCGGGTGCATTTCTGGACATTGCACAGGCATTTGACCGGGTATGGCACTCCGGACTGCTCTTCAAGCTTAAAATCCATTTACCTCAGTCCTTGTACCTAGTCCTCCGATCCTACCTCTCTGACCGCTCCTTCCGAGTTCGCTGTGGAACAGAATTTTCCAATATCTACTCCGTTAAAGTCGGTGTTCCCCAAGGCAGCGTCTTGGGTCCCGTGCTTTACATCCTCTTTACTGCTGACATCCCTGTTCATCCCGATACTTTTCTTGCAACATTCGCTGACGACACCGCAATCTTATCATCCAACTCTGATCCCAACATAGCATCCTTAAATCTCCAAAACCACCTCACCTTGATTGAGCACTGGTGTAATAACTGGCGCATTAAAGTTAATGAATCTAAATGCCAACATATTACCTTTACACTCCGACGCAGCTCCTGTCCACCAGTACACTTTAATTCCATCCAGCTTCCTTACTCAGACACAGTCCGGTATCTTGGTTTTCATTTAGACCGAAGACTAACGTGGAACCCACATACTAGACTCAAAAGACAAGAACTCAACCGACGATACGGCCAGCTATACAGACTACTAAACAGAAAATCCAAACTTTCTATTGAAAACAAATTACTTATCTACAAGACAATACTGAAACCTATATGGACATACGGACTTGAACTGTGGGGGACAGCAAAAGCTTCTAACATCAAACGTATTCAATCCTTTCAATCTAAAGTCCTTCGAACAATAGTTGATGCTCCGTTCTATGTAAATAACAAAATCCTACACCATGACCTTAATATCCCATTTGTCCTAGACCTTATTCCAGAAAAATTCTCCAAATTTCACCAGAACCTTACCTATCATCCAAATCCCCTTGCACAATCTCTATCCAGCAACACCCATCCTTACAATCCTCCTCGAAGGTTGAAGCGGCAGTGGCCCAGAGACCTTCTGTAAATAAGCATCTATTGGAGTTTTGGCAATGGCCAGATCCTCCACTCAAGCCCGAGTGTGTATGATTAGGTTAGTTCTTTTGTTTATATACATTTATTTTATTTATTGTATTTATTTTTATTTTATTTTATTGTATTTATTTTAATTTTATTTTATTGTATTTATTATTATTAAGTTTCTGTATTATTATTATTATTTTTTTTTTATTTATTGTAAATAGAGTGTGAGTGTGTTCTCTGAACACTATTACAAATGTCCTTGATGTGACAGAATGTGATATTTCTAAATAAACAAATATAATAAATAATACAAATTACTAATTATAAAAATATAGTTCGATTGAAACTTCTACAAGTCATCAACCTCGAAATGTTAGACTGATTTGATTGCCGAACCGAAACCAATTAGTCTGTTGTTTAGGCCCCCTTTTATCAAATCATTAACATCCACCTAAAACTTCATGAATGGCCTTACCATAGCCCGCAACCAACAATTTTTTTATTTTCAAAAATTCTCAAAAATGGGACCTTTTCAAAATATTCATTCGGTTTCCACTTGAATCGTAAGATAATTTTATCATAAAATCGAAAGAAAAAAAAATTGAATTACAAAAATATTACATATTATAAATATCAAAGTGCATTTCCAAAAGTAAATCCTACATTATTTTCGTAATTGTGGATTAATGGTTGATTGCAGCGCATAATTGAAGAGAAGAATGGTTGGGATGATCAGTCAAAAAATAAATAAATATATTTATTTATTTCTACTTTTTTATTTCAAACTGATCATCCCTATGGCTATTCTCTTCAGCTAAATCATTTTTCTTAGTTCTGACTCTTTATTTAATACGTTATTGAAAAATATAAATAAAATATTTAGTTGAGGAGAGTATCGGTTGGGGTGATCAGTTTAAAATAAAAAATAAATAAATATATATATTTTCTTTTTGTAGTTCTGACATTTTATTTAATATTTTATTGAAAAATATAAATAAAGAATTTAGTTGAAGAGAATATCGGTTGGGGTGATCAGTTTAAAATAAAAAAAAATAAATATATATATTTTATTTTTGTAGTTCTGACTTTTTATTTAATTTTTTATTGAAAAATATATAAATTTTCTTTCTTTAATGTTATCAACCATTTCTATTAGTCCCTGCCTGTAATAATCTGAGATATTAAAATATTTTCCACACAAATCATACAGATCCAGTAGTCAATCATAGCTATAAATTTAGCCATCAATTTATACTCAGTGAGTGGTACCAACTCCTTTTTATCAAATTATTAAAATCCGCCAAAAACTTCATGAATTGTTTCATCTTGTTGTAACCTACAAATTTTTTATCTTCTAAAATTCTCAGAAATTGCATTTACTCATTAAAGTAATTAATTTAATTAGGAACTAAAAACTCTTGAATACCCCTTTGCTTTTCCCTTGAATCGTGAGATTATTTGATCACAAAATCGAAAAAAAAAGGTGTCCAACAAATATATTGAGCCGTCTGGCCCATATAACTGTCTATTCTGTCATTTTTGGGATGGAGATCACTCCAAACGGCCCAATATTTTTGTAGGCCACTTTTATTCTTGATTTCGTAATCAAATTATTCTCATATTCAATTGAAAGCAATAGGTGCTCATGATTTTTAATGCCTTTTTAAATGAACAGTTTGCCGATCTCCAGATTGAAAACGTCCCAATTCCGAGAATTTTCGTAAATAAAAAAGTAGTAGGTTACAATGAAGTGAAGATATTCACGAAGTTTTAGGCGGATGTTAATAATTTGATAAAAAGGGGTCGGTACTATGTACTAAGGTATATATGATACCCTCGGTCATTCGCTCGATTGATATTATGTTCATGTAAATGTAAATTTTATGTCTTAAGCACAAAGGTATTAAGGAATATTACTTATATGTTTTGCATTATTCCGTAAATATAATTATTTAACCTTTATAATTATATTATATAGTCCATCATAATGAAAGAACACAAATTAAATAAAACCAATGTAATTTGCATTTTATTCATAGCAATTATTTTTTAATAGAGTATAAAAATAATGTGTGAAATCTCTTTAAAACAGATTTTTGCACAAATTTCTAGACAACAAAATCATATTTCTCTGAATAATTGCGCTGTATTAAGTATGTAGAGAAGGGAATTTGAAAAATGTTATGGGGTCAAATACTTGGGGCTAAATATTTGACGCAAGAGGGAAATTTACTCAAATATTTTTAGATAAAAGAAGAAATTTTCATTTTTCATTATTGTCATTATTTATTTCTCTCTTTTTTTTTTCTTTAGAAAGAGATTTTGCCAACATATTCGAGGAAGCTTAATGTATTTTCATTTTCACTTACCTATATATTTAATATATTGTAAGGGAAGGTATTAAGATCGTGAAAATTATAGTTTTTAACAGAAAAATATGTTTTGGAATCACCTAAGTCCAAATAACCAAGTCCCGAAAAATGGTCTATGTATGTGTGCGTGAGGGAACAGCCTAACTCAAAAACGAAAAGTCGTATGAAACTGAAATTGCGTATTTAATATTTATACCTGGTTCATATTTTACAGCAACTTTTTCATTGAAATAGGCTAACTGAAAGTGGTAATGTCGGTTGATCGGGGTCCGGTCAAATAAATACTAAATTAAACAAATAGTATTTGTCACCCATTGCATTGTCACCCACTATATCTCTGAGATCATCTTTTTATTTCTGTATCAGACAACTTCTTCTTATTTTATATCTACTTATATTCATTTATTTTATATTCACCATGTTTTGTATCTTTTGTAGCCCTGATGAAGACCTGCAAATTGGGTCGAAACGTCGGCAAAAATTAAATAATTACTATTTGTTTAATTTAGTATTTATTGACCGCACCCCCGGATCAACTCCTTCTCATATAATATCTAAGGTCAACCATCTCTACATCATTAAAAATATAATTATAATTATGAAATTATGACTATGAAAAACATACGATAATAGAATGTTTCAAAAAATATGTTGTCATATCTGTGATTTTTTGTTTTTCTTCCCTTTGTCTGAAAATATTTATTTCTCCTGTGAGAAGAGTAAGTGAAAGTTGTATGATGCGCGCACCGCGATAGGTTTTTTTATTATATAGAAAGTCAATTCCTCCATCTTATGTTACATTTTATTTACTTATTTCCATTCTACACCGCCGCTTGTTCATTCACCGACATGCTTATGCGAATTATTTTCACGAAAATTTGAATAAATTGAAAACTGGATTTAACAAGTGATAATATCTAAATGAAATTCTACCACGGAAAACTCAAATTAACTAACCACATCTAAGGCAAGGAAGGCTACTAACCTCTTTTGATTAAATCAAACCACATCAGACTCAAAAAAAAAAAATACAAAACCTCACGACAAATACGTGACACATATGAAACTACAGTAGGAAAACGACATTGAACATAACTTCTAAAAAAAAAACAATGTTCGGTATTAATAGATGTTTTTATTATTGTCATAAACTAATAAACTATTACCATAAATTCAACATTAATTTTTGATCTTAGGTAGGATGGATTCGTATGAAAGACAAGCATGTCCTCACCTATGGGATATACAGTTTCGCCCACGACCAGAGGTTCCAGATTAGACACAGAGAGGATCCGGATGACTGGAAACTATTGATCAAGCATGTCATGAAGAAGGATGAAGGACCTTACAGATGTCAGGTGAATAGAGTATAATGAATATTGAGGTGTAGGGTGCGATCCATTAATTAAAAAAAAAAAACTTCAGATCGTATTTTCACTCTAAGGAAAGGGAAGGTTATGCACATATATATTGATCGATTTTTAATTTAGTGACTTAAATCAGGGATCTCCAAACTTCTTAGGTTGCGAAAATAATGATAACACTTTTAAGTCTCAAGACTTGGCTTCGTAGCACTCTAGCAAAGGCGCTCTTCCTAGAAAGACGTACCAGTAAAGAAGGAGCGGTGAAGGAATATTGCCAAGTAATAAATCGCCTTATGCCAGCAGAAAGGGTGAGTGACTTTGTTTTTACAATGCATATTCCTCACTAGTGCATTGATACAGACCACTAAAAAAAAAAAAATTCTTATGTTGCCTCATGTTAAACTTAGTAAAAATCCTGGTATACTTAGTAAAAATAAAATTTCTAAACTTACTTATTTTCCTAAACAATGAGTGAGGCTTCAGCTGAGAATTAAGCTCTCTAAGAAAAAAAAAACACCCAAAACAAATGTTGTGCCAACCTCCTGTGTGAGTAATGTGCTAAATTTCATAATTTTTAAAAATTCTATTATGTAATCAAAGAAACTTTTTTGGGCCGGATTGTAGGTGCTTGATGTGACTCGTTTTATAATAATCAAAAAGTAAATTATAAATGTTAATGCCCGTTATAGCTATTCACGATACAGCTAATGAAAAAATAGCTATACTCGGTGAATATTGATTTCTAGAATTCCTTAGTTGTCCTTAGATAGGTATTTGGACAATAATAATGCTTTATCTCGAAGTGATATATTTTTAATGTTTAACACTCAAGGCCCGTAACAACACCTAAGGATGTTTTCTTTTGTACATCCTTTTAATGTTGGTAGAATTAAGTTATGCAGTGTTAGATACAAATGTTAAGGGACGTAGTTATAAAAATGTTTAATGTTTTTTTTGTTTTTTTTTTACCATAGATAAATTAAAGTCATGTTTAATACAATTCCAAAGAAAAAATATTAACTATTTGAAACCTTTATCAACTAAAGTAATAGCTATAGCAGTTAGTAGTTATACCCTTGTAAATAAAGGGATTCTGACATGCAATTTGGCCTGTCTAAGTGCTGGTTCAGCCTTCCTAATGCCTCCTATCAGGCTTAGCACACGGTCTGATCCGAGTCCTGCACACCTGTAATCCAAGCCGTTCTTAGTGCTGATTACAACTAACTCTCGGATCTATTCACTCCTTAAGAGTATATCAACGCAACTGTTAGTTAATAGCACTAGCTTCAATATGAAAAGTAATTAATATGGGGTTTGGTTTTCGAAATGAGCTTACGCAAATACATAGCTGTATTTGAACGGACTGTAGGGCAATGGCTTGTTATTCGAGAATAGGCGACTTAACGATCTTAGTTGAGAACTATATCATCACCGCAGAGCGGGTCCTTTGTATTCGATATCGATTTATATTAACAAAGCACTGACTGGCCATAACTATCTGATCACAAACCAATCACTTTATAAGTTAATAATACTCCTGATTAAATCCCAGACCGTTTGAAGCGGCAAGGCCTCAAATAGGAACAGGCGTTCTGGTCAACATAGCCCGACCTGAACTCAGGCTTTTAGGAGTTGATCAAAGGCTAGCGTTGGGGGGAGGGAGTTTAGAGGAACAAGTTGTCTAATGGGTCCCACAAATCAGCAATAAATATGTTCGTACAACATTATCAATATATATATACAACATTATCATCAATTTATGAAAACCAATATCCAGTACAACCTCATTTGAATCGTAGATAATAATGACAAACGTTTTTTCAACTATTTATTAAGAAATACTTTAAACTGAAAAAGTCACACTGCGTTTGTTCCATGCACTCAAGAATAATGCCCGAAACGACCTATGATGAATATCTCGAACTAATGATCGTGTGAGAGTATATTTTGGATGTATATATATATATATATATATATATATATATATATATATATATATATATTGTTATTCAATAAAGATGATTTTCTATTTATATTTATATATATATTTATTTATATATAAATATAAATAGAAAATCATCTTTATTCTGTGACTAGTTTCTTTGAGAATAACAATATATATATATACATCCAAAATATACTCTCACACGACCATTAGTTCGAGATATTCATCATAGGTCGTTTCGGGCATTATTCTTGAGTGCATGGAACAAACGCAGTGTGACTAGGTCCCTTGAGAATAACAATATTGTTTAAACCAATTGACAATAAATCTGGCCAGATGACTTATATTAATAAAGAGTAACTAATATCTAAGTAATAAAATGAGTATATACATAGTTTTGGAGGGTATATTAAGGAAAGCAGATGAGTACAACGGTTACAATATTGGTACAAAAAACAACAACATACTTATAACTAAATAAAATTGGAAAGAAATGCTAAATGTTTTATAGGCAACCAATTTAAGTGCTATAATAGCACTATTGCTATAATAAAAAAATAAAAATAAGAATAAAAGGAAATAACTAGAGTAAATAAATGATTTATATATGTTCCTTAAGACGTTTAAGTGAAAACATGTGAAGGTATTGTGAAAAAGTAGACAAGTATTGTGATCTACCTGTGACGCAATAGATTACGAGCAGAAAAAGAATAAAACAGAGGCATACATACATACCCACATAGAGAGGAGAGTATAATACTTTTAAATAAAATAAAATACACTTCAAAAAAATATACTCTTATGAATAGAAAAGATAAAAGGTAACAACAATAATAAAAAATTATACCTACTCACACTGCTCTGTGAGAGGTGATCGAAATTCTGTTTCATACTCAAAACAGATGAAAAAAAATAATGTATAAAGAATCTTGTTGCATAATATATACTTAGCCAGCATCTGATTGAACTGTGAAGAGGAATTGGAATAAGAGGGTTTTTAAATCTGGATAAGGATGGTGCATGGCGGATTTTTAATGGTATGGAATTCCATAATGCAGTGGGACGGATAACAAAGGAATATTTAAATGAGGTAGATTTGTGTAAAGGAGTGTAAAGGTCAGAAGGATGTAATCTTGTGGAGAGGGTGTGGATTGATAATTTGAATTGTAGGAGATTTTATGCGTAGGACGGACGATGATTATTTAGAAAAGGAATGTGTCCAGGAAATATTTCCTTCGGAAGGGAGGAAAGAGGCACCCTAACTCAGCATAGTGGTGAGAAATATATATAATATACACACTTAAGTATTTCCTTATATAGAATGACCCGTGACTAGACGGAAATATTTAAAAGGTTGACAGAAGACATCGACATCTACAAAAAATTTTATATAAGCAATTGCCCGATTGCCAGCAGAATTTGAATTTGAATTTGTGTTTTTTAAGCGAGTCACGTTTTTTTATGAATTAGAAGCGATAACTTAAAAAATATTTGATTTAAGTAACTAAAGTAGAGTTTGCCATTGTAACTATTTGAAGAGGACATTTGAGCAGCTTAACACAGCTAAGTTCTGTTTAAACGGAAGTTTAAAACCAAATGAGTGTGAAAAGAGTAACAATAATCCAACCCTACTGCATTAACCGCAGCTTTTCAACCAGGCAGGGTTGTGGGGTCGATATGGATCGGATCGACGAGTGCCTCGAAGGTGATTGACAGCGAGAGATTTCCGTTCAGAACTTCTTGCGGGATAAGCCGACCCCATTCGCTGAAAAGGGCTGGCGGATGGACGTGAAATTAGTCAAGGATTGGTAGCTTTATGAATGACTGTCAAACTCGGATGGAGTCTATTCACTTAAAGCATCAGAGGGAATCATTTATAAAGGTGTTCATATTTCGAAGTAGTAAATTGAAAACGTAATTATAATGTATATAAATTATATTATATATAATAATTATAAATTATAATGTAATTATAAACGTAACGTATTTTAAATACGTTGATATCGCTTCTTTAAAAATCATTAAAACGAGTTAACTAAATTAATATTTCAATTTAATATAAATTTAGCATACCTGTATTGTAATAATTTGTATTAAAAAAAATTTAAACACACACACACACACACACATATATATATATATATATATATATATATATATATATATATACATATATATATATATATATATATATATATATATATATATATATATATATATATATATATATATATATATATATATCTTCCTTTTTTTAACCCCATTCAAAGTAACCTTTGAGAGTATCGTTTATTTTTTGATACATTTCATATAAATATATATTATGTACTTTACAAAAATACATAAAACTATACATTATTAGAAACATAATTCTACTTCATTAAAATTAAAACATAAAATTATTTGCTATGACCAAAAAAAGGATAATAAAATAAATTTTAATAAACATAATTTTCTATCGGAATTTTTACTTGTTGAGCGCCTGGCTTTGCCTGGCCTTTCATATCTCTTAAGAGATAAATCTATAAAATATAAGGTACCCACCAATTATTTGGCCATCATTAAATATTTATTCTACCATGCTAGCCCAGGTGAGAAGAGATTAAGTTGGATATTTTTATAAAGCAGCAAAAAAAAAAAAGTTAAGAGATCTATTTAAAGAAAGAAATATTTACAGAGTTAATACTATGTACAAGCAAAAGAAATAAAATAAAATGGAAAAGAGAGAATTTAAACATAATAACTATATACAATTAAAGATCAATATGAACATATTTAAGATAATAAAAATAATAAAAAAGATACTTATTTTATATACAATAAGTCAAGATAAAAGATATCAGAGCACATGCACATGCTAAAATTAGGAATTAATAATTAGTCAAAGGAAACAAAAGAGAGAAGAGTTTTTTTTTTTTCAATGCTTCCTTAATTTTGGTTACAATGCTATACTCAATGGTTGAATCATTAATTGTATAATGAGGAAAAAGATGGTCCAGGGGATATATAATTGGCTACTTACAAATACAATACATGAATAGATAGATATTATGAATTACAAATATCAAGAAAATAATAACAAGAAGGTTATATAAGAAATTAAATATGATAATGTACAATTTAAATATTAAGTCTGATTATGGGCCACAATAGGCAAGAATATATTATGTCTAATGTCTCAACTCTTTTGATTTGTCTTGTTTACATTTCCATATACTTGTTAGTTTATCCGTCCATACTTTTTAATATATTCCCTTTTTTGTATCTTGACAAAGACCTGCATAGTCCAGTCGAAACGTAAGCTTAATAAATAGTTTTCACTACTTAAGCTACTGACTACCACCAAGGACCATCTTTATCTTCAAAAAAAAAAATAATAAATTTGGCCTTGTTTTTTCACTTTCCAGCAACTATACATAAAAACAGTCAGTGCGAGATTAGAAAAATCTTAGATCATATACAAATACACCTGCGGCAATTTGGTCCGTGTTTCCCCCTTCTTTCTTGAATCGAAACTTTTCACTCCGAAAAATAGTAAATGTGCCTTCCCTCAAAAAATGAAACTTCCGTCAAAATGTAACCCTCCTCCCCTCCACCAAAAAAAATGTTTGATGGCAAAACTTTAAAATGATTTTCTTAGCTGTTGCAATGCAAATTTAATTCAGATTTTTACCCAATAAATTACAAATAACATCATTGAGAACAGTGGCATTCGGTCTTGTTTAGAAATCACTATTTAGTTGGACAGCTCATTAATCAAGGGATATCAATCCGTAGTTAATCAACCTCATCCACGCCCACATAAAACCAACAATTAGCAGCAAGTTAATTAAGCCGCATTCACCGCTTAGCAGCTGCTACCGTCGAGTAGTGACCTACTTATTAAAGTTCCTGCTCTAAGGAAATCTACTGTCACTACGCAAGCTTCAGAGAAGTTACCAACAAAAATTTTTATCTCGTTTCATATGAATATAATGCTTTTTAGTTGATCTATTAACAAATAAATGTAGACAAATAACATAGCTACTGTATGCCATACAAAAAAGTGAAGTTTACTTGAGCAGCTCACTTTTTTGTAAATACGTGAAATTATAATAATAATAAAAGGCTTAACGAACCCGAAGATTCGATGCCGACACCACCAATCGCTTATTACACACCTCCCTCCACCGTTCGCCGTCCAAACCCAGTCCCTTCAGATCGGCTTTAATGCAATCTTCCCACCTTCGCTTCGGTCTACCCCTCGGACGCTTACCATTCGGCACCGCACATACTAACCTTTTAGGAATTCTCTCTTTACTTAGCCCAACAACTTTACAAGCCCATTTGATTCGCCGCGATGAAATTACCTCAATTATATTACTCGGATACATCTCTCGCAATTCGGCGTTGTGTAACCGTCTGAACTCTCCGGTTAACTCATCCTTTTTCGGTCCGAATATTCTACGCAATACTTTATTTTCAAAAACCTTAAGACGCTGCTCATCCCTTAATGTAAGCGGCCAAGTTTCGCATCCATAAAGAACTGTAGGCAAGATAATTGTTTTATAGATTCTAATTTTTAAGTTCCGGGACAAGAGGCGCGAACTAAGTAGTTTTGTCACAAAAAAATAACAAGCATTTCCCGCCTTCAGTCTAACCTTAATCTCTTCTTCAATTTCGTTTTTTCTAGTTATCGTAGAACCTAGATACCTGAATTTCTCTACCTGTTCAAACATATTAACATCTATATCGATATCACCAGTAGTATCGCCATTTTTGTCTTCGCTTAACAGTACCAGATCATCAGCATAGCCCAGCACGGATGTTGTTCCGCCCAGATCCAACCCTTTCTCGGTACGCATTACCTCCCTAATGGCATGTTCTATTGCCAAATTGAACAGGACAGGCGAAAGAGAATCCCCCTGTTTTAAACCCGAACGAACCTCAAACTTTTCGGACAAATTATTACCGATTCTAACTTTATTGAATGTCTCCGTCAAGCACATCCTGACTAGATTTACTATTTTTTTTGGAATCCCTTGCTCGATTAGAATATTATATAGTTTCTGGCAGCAATAGAATCGTAAGCCTTTTTAAAATCTATATACAGCTGGTGAACAATACCGTTATACTCCAATTTTTTCTCTAATATTTGCCGAAAAGAAAATATTTGATCAATTGTCGAACGATTCCGTCTAAATCCGCATTGGTAGTCTCCGATAATTTCCTCGGCGTATTCCGTGATTCGACTGGTTAAGATTGAAGTGAATATTTTATAACATACCGGAAGGAGTGAAATTCCTCGATAGTTATTACAATCCGTCCTCGGACCCTTTTTGTGAATAGGAATAAGAATAGAATCTTTCCATTCTTCAGGTAATTTCTCGTTCACCCAGATATTTTTAACCAACCGATGTATTTTAGAAACTCCAGCTTCCCCGCACGCCTTAATTAGTTCAGTAGGAATATTATCGGTTCCCGCTGCTTTATATGATTTTAATTTTCCGATAGCTACTTCAACTTCCTCTTTACTTGGTCCTTCTATTAATGGTTCAGCACTCTGGTACTCAGAAGGAGGACACAGATCACAATTTCGCGTATTTAAAATATTGTCAAAGTGGTCCTTAAACTTATTCAATATGTCAACCGGATCGGTCAGAATATTGTTATTATCATCCCTAATTCCAGATGTTACGGGCCCTACATATTTACGTGATCTGTTTATACCTTTGTACATGTCTCTTACTTTATTTTCGATTCTATTAGTTTCTATTTCAATTATTTTATTTTTAAGATACTCCCTTTTTTTATTTTTGAGCAATTTTGTCGTTTCCTTCTTTGAGATTCGGAAGTATTCCAGATTGTCTTCGCTAGGATTATTTAGAGCTTTTAATTTAGCGGCTTTTCTTTTTTCGCACATGTTTAAGCAATCTTCATCAAACCACGGTTTGTTATTCTTATTTTCCTTTTTTCCTAGACACGAGTTACCGACTCGTATCTAGGAATATTATCCCTGATTTCTACCCATAACTTGTCAATATCCTCGTGGTCCTCGTCAGGAAGCTCTAAAGCTTCAAACCTATTCTTAACATCTAGCTCGAATTGGGTTCTAATGGATGGATTTTTTAATTTTTCCAAATTAAAATTCTCAAAATCGAACCGGTTTTCTTTTCTCTTTTTTATATTAAGTTTTTGTCGAAGTTTCGCGATTACCAATTCATGATCCGACCCACATTCTGCTCCGCGATAAGACCGTACATTGATTATACTGCTTTGCCAGCTGTGTTGTATCAAGACATGATCTATTTGATTTCGTGTTTGCGAATCCGGTGATGTCCAAGTATATTTATGAATATCCTTATGTTTAAACGTCGTACTTTTAATTATCAGGTTTTTCGAGATGGCAAAGTTTATCCGACGGATCCCATTATCATTACTATATTCGTGCAAACTTTCTTTACCAATCGTCGGAATATAAACTTCTTCCCTTCCTACCTTTGCGTTCGCGTCACCTACAATCATTTTCATGTAGTTTCGCGGTAGTTTATCATAAACCCATTCGAGTTTATCGTAAAATTCACTTTTGACTTCATCGTCACTGTCTTCGGTCGGACAATGTATGTTTATTAATGCGATTTTAAACCAACGTCCCTGAAATATCGCTACTGAAATTCTATCACTAAAGAATTGTACGTCGCTCAAAGCGGATAGTAATCTATTCCTAATTAGAAACCCGGTACCTAAACAATGATTCCCGCTTCCTCCGTACCAAATAGTGTACTTTCCTTCCCTCATTGAGCCCTCCCCTGGCCAGCGAACCTCTTGCAGAGCCACGACATCCAAATTGTACCCATTTACCTCATTCGCGACCGATTTTAGCCCCCCTGCTGTGTTTAAACTCCTTACGTTCCACGTACCAATATTTAAATCCCTATATTTCAACTTGCGCCATGAATCCCCTAAAGCAGTCCCCACCCGGAGACCCGAACGGGGGACTAGTTTACCTCCGGATAATGAGCGTTTTACCTTAGGGAGATCCATGACTTTTTGTGGTGTTTGGCGAACTAAAGATATGTGAGTAGGGCGTTCAATCCTACGTCACACCCTCCAGCAAGTCTGGTGGGCCCCTACCTCCAGCAAGTCTGGAGGTCCCCTCCCTCCAGCAAGTCTGGAGGGCCCCTCTCATTGTTGGTCAGCGAGTCCATCGGACTTAGCCGGGAGGAACTTCCAAGGAATTTCCACCGACCATCCCCCCATCCGCCACCCGTGGGACGCTCCCCATACGCGGTAATGAGCCCGCGAGAGGAAATACGTGAAATTAGCCAACCCAAAATAATAAATATGAACAACCAAACTGGCGGATCTATTGGATTATCTGGTTCTTCTTCTCCCTCCTTCATATGAAAACATTTATTTATTATTTTTTTATTTGTCTATATTTTTTTTACTGTGAGCGATCTAAGCTAAATACTTAAATAATGACAATATTTATATATATATATATATATATATATATACATATTTTTTTTTAATCATAATACATATACAGCTAATAACTATAACTATATCTAATGAAAAAAATATTATAGAATTATCTCTCAAAGTACTATTGTTCGTATAATTAAATTTGTAATAGGACTTGAAGAATCACTTAAACACCATTTCAGATAGATAGTTTCTTTCATTTTCTTCTCAAGTAATTATCGTTATATATATATATATATATATATATATATATATATATATATATATATATATATATATATATATATATATTTATATATATATATATATATATTTGAAACTAAAATAATCAATAAGCTAGAAAAGAGACAAAATGTGATTATGTTATAAATTCAAAAATTTAAACAACAAAGCCATGAGTCTCCAACACCCAGTTGAATTGTTAACTTGCCAACGTTTCGCCAATTTAGGCATAATCAGGACAGAAAAACCAAGATCACATATATGCAGAAAGACAAAAAATGATAACAGTAGACATCTCACGAAGCCATCTAAATACATAATGGAGGAAAGAGGAGGTTCTGTTAACAACAGCTAAGGAAGGTTATATTGAACAACAAGGAGGTATAGGTATAACTATAATATAATAATATAAAACGTGTTAAATTAAATGAATTTCTCTCTTATTCTTAAGCGTTTCTCTCTCTCTGTCTCTCTCTTTCTCTCTCTCTCTCTCTCTCTCTCTATATATATATATATATATATATATATATATATAAAATAGAAGAAGAATAGAACCATCAACATTATTCTGCGACAAAGTCCCTTAACAATAACAATATAGCTTATAAAAATTAACATTAAATCTGCCCAAAATACATATTAAAATAAAAGAATAACAAAAACATAAGTAATAAGAGAAGTGTTTACATGGCTATAAAGATATATTAAAGAAGAAAGATGAGGAATAAGGTCACAATACTGCAAAACAGCTGCTACAAACAATAATGCAATGTAAGAAATAACTAAATGAAATTGGAACGATAAATTACTTTTGTTCGCAAACCATTGTAGTTATGAAAAATATAATAATAAGAAATAAATTTAAAAAAAAACATAGATAAATATTTACAATAAATGATTTACATATGTACCTTAATATGTTCAAATGAGTACTTATAAAGTACTTATAAAGTACTGGTATATACGTATTGGTTACGTAGAGGCTTTCAGATGGATTGCTACGAAGTACGTCTCCCGCCCATCTTAACCTCCGTGCCTTCATTGACGGAATACTGATTGACTAGTTTCTGTAAGTAGTTCTTTGTTCTTTCTTTTGCAAGTGTTAGTACTCTGACCCCAGACCGCTCCGGTTATCGTGCGGAGGATTTTCCTCTCAACTGTTTCAACACTTTTTTCTAGGATACTGGTTAGTGTCTAGGTCGCACAGGCGTATATTATAACTGGCTTTATTATAGCATTGTACAAGTTTGAGATTTTTCGGGATTTTAATATTTTTGAGAAAGAAAAGAAAGCTCTGTTTGTGCTAGTTATACGCTGCTCTATTTCTGCCCGTTGGTAATTCATTGAAGTTATTGTGGAGCCGAGGTATTTGAATTTTTTTACTCTCGGAAATGATTTTCCTTACTTTCGGGAATGATCTTCGAAACATATATCTAGAATTGTCAGGGACATGAACAAATAATCAAATTCAGTTTTTCCTGACAAATTTTCTATTTACATTTTTGTTTATTTATATACCTAATAGAAATGATGAGGAAGCAATACTGTGACCTAGTTGGTATATTTTTATTTTTTGAAGTGCCACAGTAGGAAAATTCCATTTTTCCACTTTTTGGATTTTAATTTTCTATTGTCAGTTTTAAGTAATTTTTCCAATCTAATTCTCAATGAAAATAAGGCAATTATGGCCCTAGTGGTTGAAGCCTTAAAATAAAAATTAAAAAAAAAAGTAATTCTGTGATATTTTTATTTGTTATTCAATGTAATTCAGTATACAAGGTAATTTAGTATTTTTTTCAATCTAATTGTCAATGAAAAAGGCAATAATGACCCTACTGGTTGAAGCCTTAAAATAAAAAGAAAAAGTAATTTTTATTTGTTATTCAATGTAATTCAGTATTTTTTTTCAATCTAATTTTCAATGAAAATAAGGCAATAATGACCCTAGTGGTTGAAGCCTTAAAATAAAAATAAATTAAAAAAAAGAAATGTTTGCATTTTTTTTTTTTTTTGTTATTCAATGTAATTCAGTACACAAGGCCCTCTTCACAATAACCCTACTGTAAGAGGGAAGGAGGAGACAAATGAAACGTGTATGTGTGTGTGAATATGGTCGGGATAAGACAGAGTTTGGGCTCGTTATGGTTATGGGTGCTCTAACCTTTATTAAAATTAGGACTTGAATAGAAAACATTCTCGACATAAACTTGGCTCAAATGCTCCAATTCATTGAAAAACAAACTGATAAGTAAAGGGACTACACTATTTCAAAACGTAAGCTTAGCAATCTTAACGACCCATATAGAAAATTATATAGGGCAAACCATTGGGAAAAACTGTAACAAAGGGCAACGAAATTCTTCGCAAAGTGTTGTTGGTAAGGCTGAACCGAAGGAGACATCCTTGGTCGAGAATGAGCCGAGGAGAGAACGACCAGATAGGAATACTGAGCAGGCTGCCATCCTCGGGGGAGATGATGGATGGCCATTGTGCTAGGCCAGTTACTCTGCCCACTTCTTTCAATCGGCTTCTATTCGATTATCATTTCATTATCGATCGATGAGTTTCAAGCTCTGCCTCCACCATTAGTTCTACAAATTCTACAAATATCTTAAAATTCATTTTACAGCCATACACACACACGAAAATTAAAATGATCATTAACTTAAACAATTATAATTATTTTTTATTGAAATTATATTTGAATATAGCGTAAGCGCGCGCACCAGTGATGAGCATAGCTAAGGAATTTTTTGTATTTTTTGGCATATGGCGCGGTAATTATTATAGTTATAAACTTCTCCATAGGTCATTTATAATCTCTAAGGTCTATTTAGCACTTTAAAATTGAAAACATATTCAGTTATGCAAGTATAATCTCCATTATACTCCATTAATCTCCTTTTTTTGGACTAGTGATGGATACTCCGAACTTCAAATGTTCTAGTAATGGGCAGGGGGTCGTTACCAGTAATGGACATACCTCCGAAAAATTCTAAATCTTTATTTGATTATAAAGATGACGATAAAGATAAGAAAACATAAATGTTCTACTTCCTCTTAGCAAAACTTTTAGTAGGAAGGCACGAAACACACTGATCTCAAGACCACTTTAGAAACAACAATGATAGGCAATTTAAAATTTTCTTTTGTGAACTTTGTTCATACCATTGCCAATAGAGCGCATTTTTCTTCAATTTAGAAAAAACTGGAACCCATAAATCAACAAGGAAACTTATTATTTTAACATTTTAAGTCCAATCTGTCTTAACTGAGCCACCCTACTGTCTAAAAGAAAGATCTTCTTTATTATTTCACAGTTGTATATTATTTCACTAATATTAGAGTGGCTGTCCACAAGAACCTTGTATAGCAACAGTAACCGTATTAGGCACAATGATGCACCAAATCGAAAAAGCGATGGTGAGAGTTCACAATATGAAATCCTCTCTATTAAACTGAACAACATTTTTACTTTTCATTTTTATCTCGACCACTCCAGCTTAGTAAAGCTGATCAGGTTTAGGATAAATAATGGGAGAACCAATAAAGATCTACACCTAATGGGTATAGCTAAGAGTGGTCACTGCTAATGCTTGGAGGATCCAAGACACATTGCCTTTAAATTGCAAAAGATTCGAGAAGCGAAGAAGAATTAGTTTAGGACCGCAAACTACGGATGATGGAGCTAACTTTCTTCGGTCGATGAATAAAGATAACGCCCGTGATTTGATAAAGTTTTTGAATGACATAAAAGCAATTATATAATAAAAGTCGCCTCTTATTCGCACTTAATTGTTATTAAACTACTGTCACCTCAGTATTTAACCATTAGTCTTTCTATTTCAAGTTCAATATAAGTTACATTCAATATTTAGTTAGTTATATAAAATGTTATTTAATTCTAGATCTATATACTTTTGTTTTTTGTTATGGTTCTATTGTAATTTTAAGCATCTTAATATTGTGTATAGGAGAGGTGTATAAAGAGTGAGAAGTGAGAGAAAGTTAAATTAAATGTTCAAAAAAAAACATGAACAATGAAAGGAACAAAAAAAAAAAAAAAAAAAAATATATATATATATATATATATATATATGACCTTATTCCCAATTAAATAGTACTGTACAGTACTGTACAGTAGCTTAATATATGTGCTAGTGGACGGTGCTGAGACTGTCGGTGTGTCCCTGGCCTGATCGAAGCTCTATTTTTTAAAATTCTAGCTTTGAAGAGGATCCCATGGTTGACTAATAAAAAGAAAATACCGGGATCGAAACGTCAATAAACAGAAGAAATGAACATTCAATAGTTTATTAAATAATAATTGAATGACCTTATTTCCAATTAAATAGTTAAGTTGTATGTAGCAAATGATACACTACATAATGACTTAAACGTGCCTACAATTTTAGATACTGCAAAAGATAACCACAATAACTTTCACCAAAGACTGTCGTTCAACATGAATCTCCTGACATAAATCCTTTATCGTACAACAAACCCGTACAGTCCATTGCGACGATTACGTAGGCGTTGGCCAAGAGACCTGCTGATCTGATTTATATCCCGGACGTGATGGGAAGCTGTGCAGCTGTCAAAAAATTTGCTCATTGGAATGAAATTTTCAGATTGCAAATTTAATCTAATGTTCTACATTTTTGTTTGGTTAATAAAAAATAAAATATCAATGAGCAGGTTTTCCTAATGTATACCTCGAATGTACTAGAAGAAGGGATATAAATCTAATACAAGAGCTCTTGTGCAGGTATGGAAGTAATTTCATATTACCAAATGCTCAATTGCGATAATGCACTGCATTTTTTTCAGGACAAGAGTGGATGATTAAACATGATACACTACACTGTAGCTAAAGGAGGATCGAATTAAATGCTGAACAGGACACGGCGATAAAAAACAAAAAGAAGAGCAGAGGGGGTTGAATAACAATAAATTTTTTATGAGAGCTCCATTAGTGCCATTTTAATTACAAATGTCAACCAGCCAGCTTTTTAGCTCCGGATTAAGGAGTACTTTGAATAATTTATAGCCTCTAAGCCCCGGACGTCGAAAGCCATTGTATTTTTTTTTTTAAATTGCTGAGTGTTTCGCAAACATATTAGTCTTAATTTTTAAATATTGTGGTTTGTAATTACCCTCATAGAAGAGACTTAGATGGTAATTAGACCAACAATAAAAACACAGGTTCCATTCCTACTGAATATTTTTTTTTTTAAAGGATCTTGAAGTTCCTTTGACTTAATAAAAACAACTCTGCTACTACCTGAATGTTTTGTTAATTATATTCAATCAAGGAATCTAAATTATGTTTTTAAAAAATCTTGAGACTAACCCATGATTTATAACTGACCGCCGAAAAAGATGAATAATGAAAGAAATAAGAAACAGCCGAAACTCATTTTAGTAATATGTTCTATTTTCAAACAACTCTATAATTTTCCACCCTAAATTAGGTGAACAGGCTACCCATTCACCAAGCATAGTTTGTTGGCTACTATAATTACCGTTGCCCAAATTCGAGACCGAGACGAGTTTTGGACTTGTAAACTCAGTCTTGTTCTAGGTCTTGGTGTTACATATTAGGTAAGAGTCTCGCAAAAGCCTTGCAGTTACATATTAGCTTATTACTACAGAGATATTACTGTAATTTTTTAGATAGGAGAAACCTAACAAAGCCCTAATGAAAAATTAGAAGAGTTAAATGCAAAAGTATATTGGTTACACCAATTATTTACATATAGTAACTAAAATTGTCAAGTATTAGTAACTAAATTTTTAATTAAAAAAGTCGAATTTTCTATTAGTCTTGCAGCAGTTAGGCGGTTTTGGTCTTGGTCTGGGAAAAATCAAATGAACTTTTTTGTACGAAATTTTGTCTAGAATCATCCTCCAGAGCCATTAAGAAATGAGACACCCTGTATATTTGTATATTATTTATTAAATAATATTTATACAACATGAACAAAAATAAACCTCCCCATATTAACCTAATAGGTGTCTAACGGAACAGAAGTCCTGTCTCAAAACTTCAACCTGCTGGTGGCAGTCCCTACAGCTAGGATCATCGGGGCTGGAGAGATCCGCATCAAGCAAGGCAGTGCCATCAGCCTAGTCTGCGTCATAGAGAACGTAAGTAATACAGAGTAATTAGCAATATTTACCGAAAGGGGAGGTGAGAGAAGGCGTGTTATTCAATAAGTTAATTAATATAACTAAATTAAATTAAAACCTCAAGTAAATAGAGGATAATGCTTGAAAATATTTATTAATATTTACCTATATTAACACTAAAAAAACGACGCCGAAACTCTTGCTGGGATACTAAATCCAAATGAAGAGTGGTCAGACCTATTCCCAAATAATTTTAATAGTTTACTATTTCCAAATGGTGTGCTTCAAATGTCTGCGCCATTGAGAACTTGAGTATTACAGAGTAATTAGCAATAAGTACCGAAGTGGGGGAGAGAAAGCGTGATTTAATTAGTTAATTAATTAAATTAAATTAAATTAAATTAGTGTCAAAACTGGAGAATTAAAATAAATTCCAATAAATCCCATCAAATTACCTTCACACTAAATCAATGACTTCCTGTCCTTCAGTATCCTTTAACAGCACCTCACTTATTCCTGTTGAACAAATCCGTTACCTAGGACTCCACTTGGACAAACATCTAACTTAGAATCCTCATACCAGACTGAAACGACAGGAAACAGCTCGACGTTTCCGACTACTTCAACACTTACTAGACAAACGCTCTAACCTTCCAATTAATTACAAAGGAATCATTTACATGACTATAATAAAGCCTATTTGGACTTACGGAGTTGAGCTATGGGGCTCCACCAAACCTTCGAATTCCCCTCCTATCCAACCGTTACAATCCAAAATCCTTCGTAAAATCCTCAATGCTCCTTACTTTGTTACAAATAAAATCATCCACAACGACCTTAATGTTCCTTATGTATCCAGATGTTCCTCATGTAGATTTGGCCTAATCCAGATATTTATCCTTCCATAATAAACTTCATAACCATCCCAACCCTCTTGTTTCTAACCTTGTTTCCTATTCTATTCCTGATAACCCTACGAACAGTCTGAAAAGAAGATGGCCCCGCGATCTCCTAATATAGATATAGTATTAGAGTGCTACCAATGGGTAGTTTCTCAACATGTGTTTCATGTCATTATATCCATGTACGAATTTACTAGATGTATTTTTTTTTTTATACAGTTGTAAATATCATATGAATAATAATAAAAAAATAATTAAATTAAACCCTCAATTCAACAGAGGGTAATTGAGCTACTTTCTTCCACGCACCATATTATTATTTTTAAAAGAGTAAATTAACTTAAAAAACTAATTTGATTTCACTAGGAACTATTTTAAACCCTTTTATTACAATTAATTTATTTTATTTTTATTTTCAAAAATTACTGACAATGTTCAGGATCTTTTGCCCATTTTAAAGTCCAAAATGCACATCTTAAGGTCCTCAATTAAATGTAAATTCAATAAAATTTAATTCATTTAATTTTTTTAATATATAAAGAAATAAAATTTTAAAAAATACACTTACAAAAACTACAGTCATTTCATAATTGGTAATTGGTTGACTGTCGTGGATAATGAAGAGAAGAATAGTTGGTGTGGTCAGTCAAAAAGGAAGGCAAAAATAAAAGATAATATTTATTTTTTACATATGCCGACGTTTCGACCTGAAGTTCAGGCCTTCATCAGGGCTAAGAAAATAACCAGATAACAAGGTATGAGAAACATAAGTAGTGATGGTAAAAAAAAAAAAAAAAGTCGAAACGTCGGCATATGTAAAAAATAAATATTATCATTTATTTTTGCTTTCCTTTTTGACTGACCACCCCAACTATTCTTCTCTTCATTACAGTCATTTCAATCCAAAATTTTACGACTTATAACTGGAGCTCCCCGGTACGTCAACAACAAAACATTACATAAAGACTTACGACAACCAACTACAGACCAACATATACGTACTCTCTACTCTCGTTTTCATCTCAAACTACACGGACACACAAACAGACTTATAAACGATATGGCTACGACTGATATGTCCATCAGGAAGAGACTAAAAAGGAGTTGGATGAGAGATCTCCTCACCTAAATCAAAGAAATAAATAATAACCAGGAAGAGGTGCTGCTGGGTACTATCCTTCCTCATGCCTATAATGTCAATCCTCATCATCACAACACATCTGCTGATTGTCAAAACCATGACAGGTGCGGATAGATAGTAAAAGAGAAAAAAAAAGGAATGGAATACATAACATTATTCTGTTATATATACAACAAAGTACAATAAGTATAAATCAAACAAATTAAAAAAATATATTTATTTTATATTGTCTTGTCAATGTAAAGTTTATATTGTATTATCATTTAAAAAAAAAATGTTTTATGCTACCGAGGATTATTGTTTATTTGCCGTTGCACATATATTAAAGACGACATATGTAAGTAGAGGACTTTATACTATGTCAGCAAAAGTTTTTTTATTTTATTAAGAAAACAAACGTAAAATGTATATGTGATAAAGCTATCTATCAACTGGCAAGTGATATACAACCGATGTGATATACAATGAGATATAACCAAATAGAAAAAATTAAACATTAATACTGTTCGTAAACATAAAAAAATAAAAATGAAACAATAACAATAACTGTAAATCAAAAAGTTTTGTAGCAACGCGTTTCCTCATTGAGACCACTGATATCTTCATAAGGTTTTATTTTAGATTAGAATCGTAATTTTATAGCTAGAGACACAGAAAATCCAGAGGCATGTAATATCCTTCCCAAAGAATCCAAAAAAATATAATACTTTTTTTTATTATTTCGACAAAAAGAATTGTTGAGGAAGGTTTTAGAGCCAGCATAAAAACTTTGTATGGCAAACAAATAACTGTTTTTACGACAGCTCTTCAAAGGGAGCTCTTAAAAATTTCCAATTACACAGTCACACACACACACACAAAACAATTTTACAAACGCTTTTGTTGCAGCTTTGTAGGAACAAACAGGATTTTTACATTTATGAAAGAGAAATTCATTTAAAACTGAAAAAAAAAATGAAACCAAGAAAGATAAATAAAAATTATTTGAAATATTGAAATATGGGTGTTCAGTTAAAATATACATATATGGCGATTCGTTCAATAATATTTTCAAGTTATTCTTCTATTTTTGGAATGATTTATGGTCCTCAGTTTGATTAAGGCCTGCCGTATACTTTATAAGACCTGCAGAAACTATGTTAGAACATCTCATCATACATCCGCCGAATTTGGCACTACAATGGGAGTCAGACAGAAAGACATAGGGAGCCCCCTATATTTCATCACCTTCATGGATGATGTTATTAAGAAATGTAAGAGGAAAACCAAGAAGACCATTGCAACGAGTCAACTGTTCATCGTTTGCATTTGCTGATGACATTATGTTAATAGCTGACAGTAAAGAAAAGTTACAGATCAATTTAGATGTCTGGACAGAAGGGTTAGGAAAAAGAAAAATGCCATTAGCACTTACAAGACCAAGTGTATGCTGGTGTCCAGAAAAAGAAGAATTTTGGGATTCGCATTCATGAAGAGATGATACAATAAGTTCCTACGTTCAAGTATTTTGGAGTGACGATCAGTGAGAGCGAGAAGATCAAAGACGAAATTAATACAAGAATTGTCACTTCAGGAAGGATGTCCTCTGCCATCAATAAAGGGAGTTTTAAAGTAAGAGAGAAGTTGCAAAAGAAACAAAATTAGCCGTATATCGCTCGACGTACGTCCCTATCCTCATTCATGGAAGCGTATCCTGCACCCTGAAGGAACGTGATCGCAGCCGCCTTTAAAGCATGGAAATGAGGTGTGAAGGAAAATAGAGGTAAAGACCAAGAAAGACCGGTCCTCTATACGTAACACAACAATACGGACTACACTAAAAATCTCACTAAACCCTTCACCCATATAATAGAGAAAGGGCAGATTCGATGGTTCAGTTATGTAAAGAGGATGGATGACCGCCGTTCAGCAAAGAACATAATGGAGGCTAAACCAGCGGGAAAACGACCTTCCTCTACGACCAAGAATTACCTCGGAAGATAATCTCAAGAATATTCTTACAGATAAGGGAATTGGATGGCCAGAAGCCAGGAGAGCAGCCTTCGACAGAGACAGATGAAAATTCTTGTAAAAAAGTCTCTACGGTGAAAGAAAAGATTAATGAATAATAAGAAGAAGAAGTTTGATTAAGACTTTTTTTTGCACTTTCATTTATTTAACTGCAACTGTCAATCACAACTGCCCGCAACCATCAGATATGCTGGCATAGTCAAGAGAAAAAATAAAATAAAACAATATAAATAGGTTTGATAGGTATAAGGAAAAGCAATACTAGCGATATAACTTTCATGGGTTTTCTTTACTAAAATATTATTTAAGTAGATCCCTCATACAGACTCTTTTCAGTTGTCTTCTAAACTTTTCAGGCATAATAGTTGGGATCATTTATTTTACCAGCTGGTTGGAGTGTCTGGATTTAAAATATTATGAAATCGTTTGTAGTAAGTTTGACTTAGACTTAATTTGATTCTTTTTGTGTATCTATAAAGATTCAATTAAGTTGGAATTATAATAAAATAAAAACAGGTGAACAAAGTTTTATCAATAATAAATTGTTCTTTATTAAATCAATAATATTATTTATTTATTGAAATATATTACACTCTGTCACGACTACATTAGTAATAGTGATAAAACAGTTCATTCACACCGTATGCACAATAAATAAAAATAAAAATAAATTAAAAGTAATCTAAATAACAACTTAATTACCGGTAAACTAGATGGAAATATTTATAAGCATTCTTTCAGGGAAATTTCTATCCAAGCCTTTCTTCCCAGATTTGGAATCGGGGCTAGAAGATCTCAGCTCATCTCTCTCAGCTGGTGTAATGACCAGTAGAAATAAATTTAAAAAATAATATAAAAACAAAACAACACAACAAACAAAACAACAAATATAAATAAAAATAATCTTGTACTTGATATAATAATATGAAAATTTATAACCACAAATCCCAACTTTATAGGAAGACAGAAACAAAAACAGAATTCGGTAAAATCATGGTGGTTAAAAGCTTTAAATACCATGGCGAAATAATCAGCAGAATTTATCTGAGAAAGAAAGCATGGAGTACAGAATACAAAATTTAAAGAAATTATGCTACTTAACGAGTAGCATTTATAATAAAAAATACCTCTCTAAAAAGTCTAAAATCAGGCACTACAATAGAGTGATAAAGCCAGTGATACTGTATGGAACGGAGACAGTTTGGAGAAACTGCTGAAAATAGAAAGAAGGATTCTTAGAAGAATCCATGGGCCCAAAATAACACCAGAAGGTTTGGAAACGGAAATGAGGGTAAGAAAACTTAGGTTTTATGGATACATGCAAAGGCTGACCGAGGAGAGGTTAAACAAGAAGATTTTCAGTAGGTTTATGTGACAACAAGTTTAACCATGGATATACGGTACAAATAAAACAGGAAATACAGAGGCTTGGGATAACACTGGAATTATGTGAGGATAGAACAGAATACAAGAAATTCCTGAAAAGTGCGGTGCATGTGGTGGACAGTAGGAAACTTCCGTTCAGAAGGAAATGGACGGAGGAAATGAAGAAAAAATTTAGTGATATCTTCAAGCGGCGATGGGCAGAAAGGAAGAAATTAAAAAAAACAGTATCATAGTCGCGTAGTCCTTCAGGGCTGTTTCGCGACATATAATAAATAAATAATATGATTATAAAAATATAGAACGATTGAAATTCAAAACACCGACATTTCGAATTTCAGTCGCGATGACGCACGAGGAAGTTAATCCATTTATACGGTTCAATATACACTGGAGACCTGACGTCCATCAATATGTAAATCAGCACTGGGCCATACATGGCCATTTCAGAAATCAATGCTTCATATTTCAGCGTTTCACCAATATATATATATATATATATATATATATATATATATATATATATATATATATATATATATATATATATTATTATTACTATGAAACTGGTCTCTTTTTCAATTTTCTCTTTTCTGCCCATCTCTGCTTGTATATATATACAATATATTTTGTATATATATATATACGATTAGATTAGAGATAAATTAATAAATTAAATAAATTAGAGATGTCCTCTGCAAAATAAAAATTAAATATTTCCTTCACCCACACGAAGCAAAGCCAATAATTGCAAGAACTTGAGGGTAACAACCTGACGGTCGAAGACCTTAAACCACTACAGACCACTCTAGAAAATAAAGGGCGCGCAATAAAGCGATACAGCCATCCCCCGAATAAAGGTTGGGCGGTTTTGATGAAGGCGACAGACACAAAAGGCCTCGCCCAAAATAGGCCATTGTCAGTGCGGGGGCAGTCTTAAATTATATCTTTATTCCATATTTAATATAATAACCACAAAGGAAGAAAGCAGAAATTACTGAGGATGTCTCTTTCAAAAGGGATTACGCATCACTTTATTCAAAGCCCTTATCTAAGCTCCATCGTAAATTATACTAACGAAAAACTAAAAATTTCGTCTCAAACCCGGCATTCCTAGAAGCCTGAAAAGAAGCTAGATGAGGGATCACCTTCAGTAAATAGGAACTCTAACATCACAAGAAGTGCTGCCACTGGATGTTACTGCTTCTCATTTCTTCCATGCAAACCTACTGGCTTACTAGCATTGGACTCTCTAGTTAGCTATAATGTATGTCAGCAACTTTTTTTTGACTGGGATTCATAAAGAGTATATAAGGTCATCAATAGCAGTCCTTGCAAATATCGTAAATAAAAATATAAATAAGTGATAGAACGTGTTGGAAAATATCTAATCAAGATCTGCACAAATGCTTTAAGTCAACATCGAATATATTATTATATTAATATTATTATTTATCTTTGCTATTTTTTATTTGACTGATCACCCCAACCATCCTTCTCTTCAATCATTCACAGTCAACCAACAACCCACAATTATGAATATATATATATATATATATATATATATATATATATATATATATATATATATATATATATATATATATATATATATATATGTAGTTATATAGTTTTAGGCAAATCATTTTCAACAGCCGAAAAAGCGTGCAGAAATACAGAATAATTAATATTTATTGTCTCTGGTTAGTTATTATTTGCATGAAAATATTGTGTGAATTATTACTGTAGTCATAATATTAATTCCCTTTAATGTGGCAGAATGTATTAATGTCAATTTATAAAATATATAAAAAAAAAAATTGTGTCTAGTCATGATTGCAGTGTTTATTCCGTTTTTTAGACTATTGACAATGCAATTTAGCTAAACCTAAAGTTACCTAACTCATTTTATTTTTTTTTTACACTTATCCTGTTATTGATTTCGAGTCTTCAAATATGCACGCAATAAAAAATAATTAATAAATAAGGAATTACAACATGAGGGCAAGTGTTAATATTTTTTTTTCTCGAAACCATAGGATATAGACTTACAATGGTCTGTGATATTGATTGTCAGCGTGTATCAATATATAAATGAAAAAAATGTTCAAATAATTTTGAGTGAATAAAATTATAAATATATGTATTTACGTTTCAAATAGACCTTTTCGTTAATTATTTCAGAGTAAGCACATGCTTTAGCTTTGAAAATTTTAAATAAATATGTCAATTTTATTTTCATTAGAACTCACATGACAGTAATTATAATTAACTTGCTTCATTTTACAAAATTTAACAATTCACAACTAGAATTTTATTAAAACATAATTTAATATTTATTGAGAAAATATATATTAAATGTCTTTACCAACGTACTTATTTAAAGATGTATGTATCAGATTTAAGTAAAGAGGAGAACTATTCATATCCTTCATAATATTATAATGGATCATAAGATGTCCTCTTCTTATAAGCGCTCATACGATGTTCTCTTTAATCCTACATAAGAAACTGCTCCCTCTTACAGAATATTTTATAAGAAAGTAGACAATAGGCTTTTTAGAAGAATGTCAACCATACACCTGATATTCTCCGTCATAAAAATCCTAAAATGGTGCAGTAAGTATAATATCTACACTCTCCACCTTTTCATAACCTCTTACAACACTCATGATATTATAAAAAGTGATAGATCATAGCTTGTTGGGGCTCAATATAAAATATGCCAGGAGATTGAGCGAGAGCTCAACAAAACTTTAATTAATTAATTATTTTAAAATGTTACTAAAGCTTAAGAATATTACTTTATTTGTAATAATAAAAACACTTTAGATACATTGCCCTACTTTATTTTTACTTTACACTCGACTTTTAAGACAAGTTTTAAGGGCAGAAACTTAAAACTTACTTTGATAAAAAAATAAAATAATTTAGGCAAATTTTTTCCTTGTCATATACTTATCGTCCATTACTCAGTAATCGCTATCGTAAAATGCATTTTCGAATAATCTGTAAAAATGATATAAGTGACACTTTCGCCAAGTCGATTTTAGCGATTAAGTTGCAGCAATTTTCCAGGCAATATACTTGACTCAAATACTTAATTCCAATGCCATGCGTCTTTTCATTTTTGAACTATGCGGTACACATAAGCACACACTCACCATTTTGCAAGACATTTCTATTAGCTTTAAGGTAAAATCAGCGATTGCAATAGTTTCCCTTATTATAAAATGTTTCAAAAAATAATAAGTGAAAGTAAACATAAAAAATATTTACCCTGCGTATATATTAGCACGAATTCGAGAAATTTTGTTTTAAGTACTGCGTTAAATTTTGAAATGAAGGTTGATCAGCTGGATCATGTGTGAACATTGATAAAAGTGAGGTTAATTTTTCTTTGAAAATCTTTTTGACAAAATCTTAGAGTAAATTAACAGTGAAAACTTTTCTTTTTGTTGCATTCTGTTGTTGATACCAATTAGCTCCAAGAAATAGGAACTCCACACCTCGGTGTAGCGGTTTCACCGCAAACGATGTCTGAGACGTCGATATCTGCCAGTTCTACAGAAAATGTGGACGTTTTAAACTCAAACCAAACTACTGAAAATAATTGGGAACTCGTTACAGGAAGAAAACGCTCAATGGACAATAACAGAGACCCAAGAAAAGCTAAAAAGGTAAGTGAAGTTACAACAGTAACCACTAATAGTTTTGAAGTTTTAACTAACATTAGTGACGAGTCTGATGTTACCACCAAGCAACCAGTTTCTGTAAAACCGCCCCTATCCACTTGAATGATGTACAGAACTACACCGAACTGGTCACATTTCTCCAAAATGTAGGAGGTTTGAACAGCTTTAACCTAAAATCCACATCAAGAGGAGTAACCGTATATCCTGAAAACTCTGACACATATAGACGTATAGTAGCTAACTTAAGACAAGTAGGTGCCGATTTCCATACCTATCAGTTAATAGAAGATAGAAATCCAAGAATCGTATTAAAAAACTTACACCATGCTACTCCAATTGAAACCATAAAATACGAATTAAAATGCCTAGGCTACGATGCCACAAGTATTGTGAACGTTATTTCCAGATACAAAAATCCACTTCCCATGTTCTTTATCGATATCTCTAAAGCCACATTTAATGAAAAAATTTTTGATATCAAATTTTTATACTATACTAGAGTGAAAATCGAAGAGCCAAGAAAGAAAAGAATGATTCCACAGTGCACCCGTTGTCAGCAGTATGGCCACACAAAGGCTTACTGCAATCACTCCCCAAAGTGCGTGAGATGTGGCCAAGGACATGATAGCACCGTCTGCACAAAGACAAGAGAGACCGCAGCAACATGCGCGAATTGTAGCGGATCCCATCCAGCAAATTATAGAGGTTGTGCAACTCTAAAACAACTGAGGGAAGTACGCAATATCCGTAAAAATATACAAAGTCCCCAAAAAGCACAAACTAGCGCACCCCCAGGTATAGACGAGTTTCCTTCTCTTCCGCAAAGTCAGCATACCGCAAATTCAGGTTCTTCAAAACTCGATTCCCAATATCTACTACCAAAACTGCGAACTTCTCCTACAGAAGTCCCAGAAAATCACCTTCACCAGCCAAAGCATCCAGAAATGAAAAAGGGCATTACTCAACCGCCACTACCGACTTACAATCACCCGGCTTCAGCTCAGCTCTTCAACTTGGTAAGTGGATTGAATAACCTCATCCAGCCTCTTTTCAGCCTTCTCCAAGAACTGTCTCACGTTGCACAAGCCTTATCCTCCAGTTATGGCTACTAATCGGCTGACAGTGGGCTCCATGTCCGTTCTTCTCTGGAACGCAAATGGTATAAACCAACACAGGACTGAACTTGACATGTACATACATGAAAAACGGACTGACATTGCTCTCATCACTGAAACACACTTGACTCCACATTCTAAATTTTACATTCCAGGCTACAAAATATATAGAACTGACCACCCTGATAAGACGGCACATGGCGGTACGGCAATACTGATTAAGCAATCACTAAAACACAACCCTTTACAATTACCCATTACACCTGACATACAATCCACAGCAATTACTCTGTATACCCAGCACCATACCATTACCTTCGCTGCAGTGTACTGCCCTCCGAGATACGTGCTAACATCATAATGTTTTACAATTTTTTCCAACATCTCGGTCGGTGTTTTATTGCAGGTGGTGATTATAATGCCAAACATCAGTCCTGGGGAGCACGACTCTGTACTCCTAGAGGAAGAAATCTAAAGTCTGCCATCGATCAGCTTTCATTAAACACGATCTCACCTGATACACCTACTTACTGGCCAACTTCAAGACAGAAAACACCAGATTTACTTGACTTTTTCAGTACTAAAGGACTCAGGACAGTGCCGTATACTGTAACTGCAAGCTCTGATCTTTGTTCTGATCATTCTCTTCTCAGTTTGGTACTATGCGATGAGCCTCGTACTGCATCAA